GGAGAACCTCCAATCCCCAGACTGAAGAGCTCAGAGAAAGTCCCCAAGTAAGATTAAAGGCATTCTTTTGGGGTTTTTGGTTGCCTGCCTATAAGATGTGGTGAAAGCCTTGCAAGGTTGGGCTATAAGGGTACCTTAGGGGTCTGAGTCCCTGTTTGGTTAAGTTCTACCAAACAAAAGTTTGGAGGACGCTGGGGTTTTGGGGGTTAGAGTCCACGTTTGGTTGAGGTAACTTGGTTCTTTGAAATTCATGCTCTGCTTACTGGGTTACAGTTATTGTCTTGGCGTATCATTTTGTGTATTGATTGAGATTTGACTAAAATGAGTGTGAGACAGTCCAAGGGTGATATCCTGAAAAAGTCTCTGTTTGGATGCATTTTGAGACAGTGGAAGCAACTTGATGGATCCCCAGGGGGGAACATGACAAAAAGCTATCTAGTTAAATATTGTAATCAGTGGAATCAGTGGTGGCCATTATACAAAGTGGATGATAAGGAAAAATAGCATTTTAAATTATAACACCATGCTGCAATTAATGTTGTTTCTGAGAAGGAAAATGGGATGAAGTATTATATGGTGATATGTTCTTTACTTCGAAAAATCACCCAGAATGGCAAAAGGAGTGTGTTATAAATCTGATCCCTAATGATCATTTTGTCTTGGCTTTGGAAAAAAGAGTAAAACTTTGAGAAGGTGTTGCTCTGCATGTAGTATAGGACAGAGATGTTTAATGTTGTACAGAGGGAAGATGATGATGTCGTGTTGATGGTAGCCCCGGGGCAGCTCTTGGGGCCCTTGGACAGTGAATTTAATGAGGTGAGAGTGGATGATAATCGTCAAAGAAATGAATCAAGATCAGGATTAGGGATGGATGGCTTTAGTCCAGCAGCAGGGTGAACAAGTAGACTAGGAGAAGATGCTATACAGTAACCTCCACATCAGGTTGTGGCAAACAACAGACCAATAACTATGAAGGTCCCATTTTCAATTGCTGATCTTAATAATTGGAAAGAAGCAGCTGGAAATTATAGCTATGCTCCCAACAAAGCAGCTAATGCTTTTGAGATGATTAAAACCCAGGACCCTGATTGGAGAGATGAAGCAATTATGCAAGTGCTGTTTGACAGTACTGAAAGAGAAATGATTCGCCAAGTGGCTAGAACACATGTGGAAGCACAAGTCACTTCAGGGATTCTACAGGGGTCAGTGGAAGTCCACCTTCCCTCTGTGGACACACACTGGAACCCAAATGCTGACAGACCCAGGCAGCTTCTGATGCAATAACAAAAATTGATTTTATTTGGTATTCAGAATGCAATGTCTAAGACAATCAACGTGTCTAAGATATATGAGATCAAACAAAACAGGAAGGATTCCCCTATGGATTTCCTGAATAGATTAAAAGAAGCTGCTTGCAAATATACTGATTTTGATCCTGACTCCAAAGAAGGTAGAGGCCAATTTGCTTATATAGTTGTTGGACAGTCCTCAGACAATATCAGAAGAAAGTTGACAGATTGCAGGGAAATTATGCCCATGATTGGGGAAAATTATTCGATACTGCCTGGATTGCTTATAGAAATAGGGATAAGGGGAAGGAGAAGGCAGAGAGTAGGCTAGTAGCAGCATTAGAAGAAAATACTTAAGGCAGAGGACAAAAATATTGTGGAAGGGGACTAGGAAGGGGCAGACCCTCAAGGAATTTAGGATGATCCAGATGCCATCTAAGGGAAAATCAGTGTGCCTGTTGTAAAAGGGATAGGCATTGGAAAGTGGGAGTGCCTCCTTCCAGAAGGAAGGGCCCAGCCAAGCAGCCCTTCAAACCTCTTTCTTTTGATCAGCAAAGATTGAAGGGGACTGGAAGAGTCAGTCCTAGCAGAACCTCTGGTTAAAACAAAGCTGGGAAGTGAGAAAACTGAATTTCTGGTTGATACTTGGAGATACTTATTCTGTTATAAACAGTTTAGAGGGAGAGTTGAGCACTAAAAATACAAGCATTATTGCTGTGACATGGGTTCATAAAACATGGCGATTTTTCAAACTTTTAGCAATTAAGTTGGGAGAACAATGAGTCATTCACCAGTTTTTGTATATGCCGAATTCACCCAAACCATTGTTAGGGAGAGATATGCTTGAAAAATTGGAAGAAGAAATTAAATTTAAGAACAGGGAAGTAGAAATTTTAATTTCAGAAACTAAATATGTTGAGGTGGCAGCCTTATTGTTACAGGATATGAGCCCTGATAGGAAAAAGATACCTTCAGAAGCGGAAGATGCTGTGATTCCTATTGTATGGGCTGGAGAAGACCCAGAAAAATACAAAAGAGCAGATTGGCCTTAAACCAAGATCATCCCTGGAAAGTATTAAACAGCCAATAATTGAGAAATTCAAGGTACAAGTTACTAGTAGAGTGTGAGTCAAAACAGAACACCCCATTTTACCAGTTAAAAAGGCCAATGGAAAGGATTATCAAGTGGTCCAGCACCTGAGGGCAATAAAAGAGATAACCCAGGACATTCACCCTGTAGTGGCAAATCCATACAGTGTTGGCAACCCTCACCGAGGAACAAGGTTGGTTCACAGACTTGTAAGATGTTTTTTTTCTGCATTCCCCTCAATACTAAAACTCCAGAGCTCTTTGCTTTTGAGTGGGAAAATCCCAAAACAGGGAGAAAAACCACAATATACCTGGATGGTTTTATGTCAAGGGTTTAAGAATAGCCTGATGATCTTTGGAAATCAATTGGCAAAAGACTTGGAAATTTTGAGAACAGAAAATCACCAAGCAACTGTACTGCAGTATGTGGATGACATTTTGATTGCAGCAGAGACTGAGGAACAATGTCTTGCACTGACCATAAAAGCCTTTTGAATTTCCTGGGCATCAGCAGATCACGGGTGTCAAAGGACAAAGCCCACATTACCCAGGAATCAGTTATGTATTTGGGATTTTAAATCCTGAAAGGCCAGAGACAGCTAGGATCCGAGCAAAGAGGCCATCTGCCACCTCCTTGAGCCCAAAACTTTGCCTGTAATTCATTCATTCTTGGAAATGGCTATGTATCATTAACTACGGATTACTGTCCTGGTATAGGTGGTGGACAGGCAACAATATGGGTTGCAGATCAATAGTGATTCTCTTTATTGCCCTTTTTCACACACTTTTTATAACCCTTAAGGCAAGCCAGGGCAGTTAGATCACAGCCTATTGGCAGCTGCTTAACTAACTTAGTTTCTATTGGGCTTTTCCTTAGCAACCTCCTGTAACTAAGGCCTAGGCTCTAAAAATCTACAGTTTTGATTTCATGTCTTACAGTTGCAGTTTCTTGTGTTTTCCCATGGTTAGTCTAGCAAACGTTGTACAGTTAGCTTTTGTTCCTCTCATGGCTACTCAGCTTGAGCTGGGCATGTTGCACTACTAAGGATACATTTTTATCTGTTCAAGGGTGAGAACCCAGTCAGGATCTACATTCCAGTCCCCTTCAGGGTCCCCCGCCCAACTGTGGACCCCCATAGATTACTGGTAAAATCTTTACATGAGATGTTAAAAGATGCCCAGAATTGATATCTTGATTGGACTGATAATGACAGAACTGCATTTAAGCAATTAAAGTGAGCCCTGATGGAAGAACCCACCCTCAGACTACCAGATCTCACAAAGATCAAACATCCAGCGCTGCAATAAAGAGAATGTCTGCTTCTTCATGCTACATTGGTGTTCAGGGGTTTATTCCCAGTTTCAGTGACACAGTGAGCACAAAAAGAATAAGGGGTGGGTGTCAAAACAGTATAAAAAAAGAATTTGGGGGAGAGATGGAAAAAGAAGGGAAAGGAAAAAATGTAGAAAGCAAAAACATGCAGGAGAGAAGGGGAAGGCAGACAGGCGGTTCTCAGGGTCTGGTTTGCTCTTCAAAAGCTGTCAACACATTTACAGTGTGCTTTCCATCCCCCTCCTTATTTACTGGGCCGAGCACACAAAGGAACAGGAAAGCAATCACACAGGAGCTGCCAAATACTCACTTCAACACAGAATAGAGGTGCTCTAAGAGAAAGGAAACTGTTTAGTGATCAGAGTACAATAAACCATCACGGCAATATTACAGGCTTAGAGAGTCTAGAGAAAGGGTTGGGAGAAAACCTGCAGAGAGCAGCCTCTTCCTGCAGAGATTACACTCAGGATTTACAGGCAGCACAGATACTGGAGGAGAGTGAATCAAGCTGTATGGGGATACAGCTGCATGTAAAAATATACATATACACAAGAAGTTTATGACTGAATTCTTTAAAGGAAAAGCCCAAATAATTTAGAATAAAAATTTCAAAAGTATCTGTTGCAGTTTGCACCTAAACTCAGTGCCTGAGGCTCAGGAGCTCAGCCACATTACAGTGACTTAATATCCCATCAACTAGCCTGTACTAGAACAGTCCATTCTGTGTCACATTTCTGACAGGTACCAAAGCTTGCCTGATGCATGTTCACTCTTAAGCTGCAGCATAGGATCACATCTGAGCCTACAGATTTCTAAATGCTGTCAAGGTTAAAATAGCTTTGAGTCTGTGTGAGGTACCTGCAGGTTTGTTGTTTGTTTTTTTTTTTTTGTTTTGTTTTTTTCAGACCAGTACTACATTTGTGCAAGACTATAGTGAACTGAAAGATGGAAATTAGATGCCAAAATAATTAAGTTGTTGTTTTTTGGTTTTTTTTTTTTTTTTTTTTTTGTTGTTGTTTTTTTTTTTAATCTTACCCTCTATTATGCAGACTTTTTACTCCTACAAGACAGGAAACAAAAGTAGAGAAATTAAGCAGCATCACAGGGTATGCACTTATCAAACATTATTTATATACTTCAGTACCTCCCTTGCAAACTATAATTACTTGGGAGTTACTCAGGCAGGTTTAACAGCTAGGTGCAGATCTCCGCAATCTTGTGCTGAAAACCATGTCACTGTAGAAAGACCTTCCTAGTCAAAAGCAAAGTTTGGTGAAATCAAGCCATCATCAGACCAAAATCATTACTTTTATTCTGAAAAGCAGATCCATAAAGCCATAGGTACAATGTAAATCATCTTTCCTGGAAGAAAATACTTGGAGACTGCTCTTTACATCCTCCAGAACAAACTTGTTATCAACGCCTCTTGTTCTTCACCTAGCCTGGATGTATCCTCTGACTGAAGAACGCAGGAGGAGCTCCCTCACACACTCTCAGGAGCCATGGTGATAATAAAAGCAGTCCAGGGTGTATTATTAATGACAAGTTACCAGAGTATCTTGGGACCACAGCCAGACAAGTTTCACTGTGCTGTGATTCTGTAGAGATGAATCCTTAGCCAGGCCAAATCCCTCAGTTTTCCTTACTCTTTTCTCCTCTGTGCAAAGATTTGTGATAAATTATTTTGTCACAGCAGCTGGGAGGCAACTGCCCTGCCCTAAAGGGCTTATAACCAAGCTTTTAACTAAAATACAAAGTGAAGAAACGCAGGGCAGAGGCACAAAAAAACCCCAAAACAAAACAAAAAAAACCCAGACCAAACTTAAACATTATATAAAAAGGGCAAAGCAAATTTTATTTTGGTACCAGTTAAATGTTATTGGAAGAGTTCAGAAGCACACATATTAGCAGTTAGAGCTGCAGTACAAGCCTCAGAGGTTCAATTTTCTGAGTGGCTACAGCTGTACCACCTTCTAAATCCCTGGGTCCTGATTTATTCATGGCATTAGGAATGCAAAATGCAAGCAGAGGGAAGTAGGCCAACAAGAGAATAGAAAGCAGGGACACAGAGGAACCAGTTTCTTTGTTTCAGCTGAAAACAGGTTGAAATTAACTTTTTCAGAGCAAGCTCTCTCTGAAAGGGCAAGACAACCTGTTGCATAATAATGCACAAATGAGTCTCCCCCCCAAACCCAGAAACATGGCTTCAGAAAAATAATTCAGCTTTACTAACCTGAAGCATTTGCATTGTCAGATGCATAATGCTCAGGCCAGTGTGTCTGACAGGGGGAGGCGTTAATGGCTTTGGTATTGTGAACTGTGAACCAGATGTTCACCTGCTGTAACTCAACATAGATCCATTAGGAAGTAGTGCAGCTATGCCTGGACACCCCAGACAGGATTCTGGCCCTGTACTTTGAAATCCTATTTAATACCCACTCAGAGATTTTTCTAAAGGAAAAAGCTTCAAGTTCAGAAGCATCTAAACAGGCTACTAGAAAAGCTGCAGAATGTGGCTAAGCTGAAATTACCATGCCTTGGCCTGCTTATAATATTATAGAAACCCTACATCAAAAGCACGTAAAAGCCTCCTAAGAAGGGAGGCCAGACAGGAATTTGAGCAAGTCATCAACTTTTACTTATGGGGAGACAGGACACAAACCAGCATTCCCTGAGATCAGCTGATACTAGAAATTTGGACCTTGGAAGAGCATCCTCTGGAAAGAAAAAAAAAACAACACACGAGAGCAGACCTAAGTGACATGAAAGGATGCACTTATTTTCTAGTGAATCATGTTGAATATAGTCTCCTTAGAGGGTGGTTGCAGACCTGACCTAAACTTAAATATTCTGGGGTGCTGGCTGACATGAATGTGAGCCTTAAATGAACTTTTCATCCTGCATTGTTCCTATCAACTAGAACCACAAAACAGTTGTTTCTGCTACAATTTCATAGTATATACATAAAGACAGCAACTTACAATGGGCAGAAAGAGGTACAAGGTAAATCACTGATTTGCCACTTACCAGGAAATGGATGGGTCTTTACTATCTCCATTTTAGTCCTCAGAACAGATGTTGTGGTCAGCCAGGTCATTGAGCATATTCTTGTAGTACAAAATGGTCCACAAAGTTTACCACAGTGATTAGACAGGAAAAAGTGAGCGTGGGGGGGAAGGGAAAGGATGAGGTACAGCAGCACATTCCTCCCTAAAAGGGACCATTCTCCCATTCAAATGGAATATTAGTGAAGTCAGATACTTAGAGAAAAAAATAAGGAAAAAAATGTCCCAATGTTAAAGACGACAAAAAGTACCAAGACATACAAAGAGGCTGAAAAGTGATCTCAAGCCCACAGTAATATTAGACACTTCATTGCTGCATAGGAAGGATTTTAAATGGCCATATTGACCAACAAACCTGAGATTAAAGGGAAGTTACCTGCCCTGTTACTTTATTTCTGCACCTCTAAGCATCCAGACTGTGCACTTGAATGACAAAACAGTACACCATTTGTTTAAAGACTTTTATAACACAGAGTATAATAAAATACCTGTGATGCTGCAACAGCAGTCCTCTGTAACATGATTCTGTGTTTTCTCAATCAAACACCAACATCAAGGGAAAAGTGATCTCACAGACCAATAACTATTCAGTATATCCTAAAGGATTATGCTATAAGACTCTTTAAATACATTTACATACATCACACACTTTTAAGAATCTAGGCACCTTTCACAATTGAAATGAAGCCTCTGGCAGCACCTTTGAGTCCAACAGGAATGCTACAGGGCTCTGCTCCTCCCACATAAACTCCAAACATCACCCAAGTAACATGAAGTCTGTTTTCCTGGCTAGAACTAAATGTTCTTTATTTGTTCCTTTCCCCTCTGAATGAGGCTCCCATATACAGGTCTATAAATGAGTCCACATCTTCATCTTGTGTTTTCCTAGGGCTGTCAATCCCTCCAACCCTATTCCTATACAGAATCCCCGTGAGTCAATATGGAAGTACAAGTCTGGTCAATGTCTGAAGAGAATTATATGGTACAAGGACAAAAGCTAAGAATTAAGTTGTCCTTAACGAATGCAGTACGCAGGCCGTCCAGCAAAACTGCTAACATTTCCAATACCTTTATGAAGGTAGCTTCATAGAAAAATTATAAAAGCAACTATGGAGCTACAGAGCTTTCCCTCCTTGGGTCCTTAGCTGAAACCTTTAAGGAGTCTAACAAACAACAGGCAACACTATGATAGGGGTTGTCAGCCAGTGGATAGTCCTCAACCAACAAGCTGAGCTGGTCAAAAACAACAGTATCAGCCTTTAAAGAAGATAACTGGTTATATGCTAGAGCCACATCTTGAAACATATCCACTTGAAGGAATTTGTAATTTGTGGAGTTTCCCCTGTTAGGAAAATATAATCAGGATTTTTGAAGATATGTTTCTCTTGACAGAAATTAGCAAGCAGCACTTATACTAGCTGGAATAACACAGCCAGATGAGAAAGTGCAATACTTTAGTCTAAACAGATCTCTCTGGAAATCTCTCTCAAAGTCTTCAGTGAAAGATTTTCTTACCCTCTAGAAAGAAGATACACACACACAAATATATATATATATATACACACACGCATTAACCAAACCATCTGAGTTGAGAAGTATGGTACTTAACCTAGAGCCAGTCTGATTTTGAGAGGATGAAGAAATCAAACACCTCCTTAGTGGCTCTGGAATCACTCTCAGGACTGATTCCGTTACTGGATCTAAGTATAGATTCACAATGCAAAATTCAGCATACTCTGACCCTTCTTTCAAGTGGTTCCAACTTCTGTTTACAGCAGTGAAATAAAGTTCACTCAAATTTTGGAGACCCAAGTTCAGTTTCTCCCAAGTTCTACCTGTCATTTCATTTTAACACTGAGTAGAAGATATATTTTATAGCAGAGTTCATTCAAAATGGCGTTAGAAATGTTTTACAGAATATAAATTATATATATGTACACGCATAATATACAACACATACAGCGCTAAACACAAAAAGGAAAGCTACATTTGTACTTGCCAATAGAAAATTACGAGCTGGTGGCTAACATTGATCAAATGCTCAAACCTTCAATAAACCATCAACTGAGCACCCAATTTTCCAGCTGCATTAGAAGAACCTTATAAGCAATGTTAGCAAAAAGTCTCTTTTGGAAGCTTCATAATGAAAATTAAGTTCAGGAAGGTCAGTTTGGTCAGCCTATTAAAAGCCAGTATATACAAAGTACAACAGGAAACTGGGAAGCTCATAGTGCTCCAATCTAGTACATACACAGTATACCTGAAAGGCTGATTGTTTCTCATTACCTATTGTCAAGGAAGGCAAAGCATGTCAGGGATCAACACCACTTATCAATGAAGCAGCATTGCTCATTGCAGTTTTGAGAGAAAGAAACATTTTTCCATCTATCGAAGTAGATACTCCAAGAGAGAAAAATGATGAAAAATGTGGATGATACATAACATATGAGCTCAGCACCTTCAGACCAGAGAAGTTCAGAAGGGACAAGAGGGTGCTCAGTGTTAGTGAACCAAGCCAGCCTAAGCACTTCTGTGTCTTCATTTCTCTAAAACAGATGTCAGTACGAAAATGCAAACTGCTTCCTTCCTCTGAGGAAGGGAGAATTACTGACAGTCCCTTATATTCTGCTTTCCTGTTCCAGATGATAAAAAAGGCTCCAGTGAGTCCCAGGGTCACACTTGCACATTCTCTGCTTTACTGTTAGAGGCCTGAGAAACACGGTTGATGCTGCTTTCAATAAAGATTTTCAGGCCCTTTAAACCTTGCGCATAGAGATATTCCAGATACCAGTTCCACTTCTTTCCCTATAAAACCAGAAAGAATAGTCAGATGTGCAGGACATAGCTTTGTCTCTCTTGGTCCAATCTGAAAAGGTCTGCAAACAATGTCTTCCACAGCTGGACAACATCCATACTAGTCTGTAAATACCCACGTGTATACAGGGTCACATCCTCTTCCCAAAAGCCCAAACTTGCCACTTATATATTATACATTAGCTCGAACACGACAAATCATGATCTTTTTTTAATACTGAAGATGTTTATAAATCCCAGTGCTAAAAAGAGCAAAGTCTATTGGGTCAACAGTGAAGATGTCAGGAACAAAATGAACATGGATATTAGTGCCTTCCTTCCATCAGTAATGGTGATTCCTCCAGATCAGGTTTGAAGTACACTGTGATAAAGTAACAAACTGTCACTGTACTTGCTCAGTGGAGGATCCCTGTGCAAAGCTATAACAAAGGTACACATCTCAGAAATTTAGTACTAAGTTCATTGATAATAGAAATTCTGCTTCAAGTACACCAAAAACGTATTTTTTTCTGGAGCCTTCAGAGAACAATAAACAGCCTTGTCCTGATAGTGCACTGACTCATGGAGGAGATACATAAAAATCTCAGACTGCTACCCACAGATGGCTAGATACATAACTTCTCAGATGTTGATGTCCTCATGTTTGGCCCTGTTAAGAGATTGAACCAAAATCTACAGCTGGAATTTTCCCCTTTCAAAAATTTTTTATAGAGCATTTGTGGAATTGAATACTATCACCTTATCCTTTTCTACATAGCTGCTCAAAACTGTCTGCTTTCACTTTACTAAAACAAGAAATCTTACCTTAATTAAACTGAAGTTGAAGGTGGTATCATCTGGCCAAGCCTTAAGAAGAGGGAATAAAAACAGTATCAAGTCAGATAAAAAGTATGTCCAGATTTGCTGGGCCTCTGCTTAGTTCCCTTCTAAATTAGGAATTGCAAGTATGCAAAGAAATTCATATTTTTAATCCTGCTTCAGAATGGTCTTCCAGCATCTTATTGTGTCCACAAGTGGCATGGTAGTGTGGAGATCCTCTTGCCCTGTGCTGCAGCATTACTGAATAACTATAGAGTATATTTATAGGTATCTTTAACCATTGTCTCTCTGCAGTGTAAAAGCTACCCCTTCAAAACATTACATCGATAATCCCTAACAATGAGAAAGAACAAGATGAGAGACCCTACTACCATTTAGGTTATTGCTTGTGTTCTCCCACTGTGCTGCAGAGCAGTGCCCTCTGGTGCTCAGCACTGAAGTATTTATTAAAAGATGGCACTGCAGCTAAATATTTTTTCCAGTTTTAAGATATATCTGTGATAGCTCCTAAGCAAAATATCTTTCTTGGTTCTGAAGTAGAAAGATTGCAAAAATTGTCCACCCAAAGGTTTTGGGTTGGTTTTTTGGGGTTTGTTTTGTTTGTTTGTTTTTTTAACTTACAAAGGCTACAAAAAAGAATCAGGAAGCCTCAGAATGGAAAGGATCTAGGCAAAAGATATGAAAAACTAATCCTGCTACAACAGGAGAAAGACCAAGGAAAAAAAGTTCTATATAACAAAAATAAAATAGCTTCCTCTGGTGAAGACAAATTGGGTTTAATCAGTAGTAACAGATCAACTACCTAGGTTCAGGATACTGAATACAAACAGAGAAATTAGTGTAGAGTTCCTAACCAACATTCATTGCTTCAACCTTAACCCCAGGTTTCTCTTGCTTCATTCCAGGAGCCACACCTACACACGCCTTCAGTCTGCCAGCATTCCTCACAACAAAACAGCATCTTTGTGCACCCCTTGGATAGACTACAAAACCTGGTTTCTCAAAGCAGCATGCACGTCTCGGAACAGTAACAGCTCTGGCAGGCTGCTCCCTCCACTATTCAGTAGCTGCACTGAACGCATGATGGCACCCCAGAATTCAAGACTACTACTAGCAGAACTCACATCAGACAATACAAGACAGCATCATATTATCTTACTTCTGTACTTGAAGTAGCTATTTGTATTTCTTTTTTTTTTAATAAGCCATTGTCAAAAGCTACTGCAAGAGGCAGAAGGCACTCTTAAAAAGTTCTACCACACACACCCATATACAATTTAACTATGTATTTCTTGGCTTTCTGAAGTTCTAATGTTTAGGACATGCTCCCTATTCTGTGGGGCAGGATGCACTATTGAGAAACTTTTACTGAATTAGTAATTTAGTTCATTATTCAGCTATTTTAGTTCTATCCTCAAAATGATCATAAGCACAAATTCACATCTAAAACTGTTACATTCATGCTTTCATACCACGCAAACAAAGACTATTCAAATTGTGTCACTGATCTGACACAAAAGCTCAGTTGGCTCTACAAGTCATCCAGTACACTGAGAGACACTTCTCTAGAGAAACTGTCAGGACAGAACATCTGGTGCTGCTGAAGGCACAAATGTTGGCCTACACCATTACCTGCTCCAGGAAGAGGACAGCATAGCCCATCACGGCTGGGTGGTAGACAATGTTAAAGCTGGTTTTGAATTCCTGCAGTGTGGTTTTCTTCAGCAGTTCATCATCCATACGAAGACCTTGAGGATGAATATCCTTCTGGAATGCACTCGATGTCCACAGACAACCCACCATAGCTATTATGTACTGGTTATACTCTTGGTATGTTTGTCTACTGAACTTGAATTGCAGTATTTTCTGAGGGACATGAAAACAAACCAAATAGCATTCTCAAAGCAGTTGTGTGCTCCCTCCAATCCTTAAAAAAACACCATCAGAACACCTCCCTTCCATTCAACCCAATTCCTTGCTAAGGTCCATTATAACAGAGCAGATTTGTCCACAATACCTTTTTACTCCTCTCATTTTCTTTGGCAGCCACCAAGTTGGTTCGATACCTGAAAAAATAAAAAAAAGAACCTTAGGGGTATCTTAATTTTTACTACCTACCAGTGTTGAAAAAAAGCTGGAAGAACATACTAGGAAGGTTTGCGTCTTCCACAAGAGGGATCCTCAAACTTTACTGATAAAAAAAGAAATATGAAAAAGAATTAAAAGAGACTTTATCACTTGGTATAGACTCACCCTTCCCAGGGAGACAGGCCCATGATAATATTAATCTTTTAAATGATTAAGACATGATCAGTTTGCCTGGGACAGTCACATTCACAAAGGCAATACGTAAGAATTGACATACAGCCTTTATCATCAGAAAAATGCAGTGTATTTTTAAGAAGGGAGACTTTCATTCACTAAGCAGAGAAACAGAAGCCACTGGAAGTAATGCAACTTGACAGTTCTATATAATAAGCTCTAGCTCCTCTTATTTCCCAGAGACCATCCTGTCATGTTAATTACCCTGCAGACTCCTTAGAGAAAAAGCCACATGGAGAGCCCTGTGCCAGCTGTCAGCAATTGGCTACTCTTCTTCTCAGATGCAATCACTGGAACTAAAAAGGTCAAGAACAGCAGCCATGTTAGTGGATCCTGCAGAGAGCTAAACAGTGCTGTCTTTGGACCTATAGGCAGCAAAAGGCAGTCCCAAATTCCCACAGAGTTTGGAGATGGTAGAAGTGTTTCCTACACAGCACATTATGGAATTTGTAAGGAAAAGGTCAAGTCTAGCAGTCAAAGCACAGGAGTGAGAAGTTGTATAGTCAACTACCAGTGATTCCACCTGGCTGACTTAAGTGCTCTCAAAACAAGATGGGAACTTCTTTCTTCACACATCAAATGTGGAAAAAAATCCCAGGAAAGGTCAGAGTCCTGCTGTTTCACATAACAGACTGAAAAGAATAGGAACTACAGCTATAAAAACCTGTATCATGAAAACTGGGTACAACTGGAACTTTCTCCTTTGCCTTACGTGGTAAAAGGTAGATTTCAGAATTTACAAAGTAATTTCATTTCCAGAAGACTGAAAGAGAAGACAAGGAGTCCCTACAGCCCACGCCATTTGTAGTACCTGTACATAATGTAGCAGAGCTGATTCAAGCTGACAGAATCCATGCTGAGAAGCGCGGGGTAGAAAACTCCAGCAGGAGGCATTATCAACAAAGGCATATTGTACCTCAGATACGTGTCACACACCTGCAGAAATGAAGCAAATCCAGGCAGATTATTGCTACCATTTACAAACTCTGAAGCATTTAAGAGCAAAAGAAAACATGACACTGCATTCCAACAAACTATCAACTTCACTTAGGAGAGAAGGCCAGGGTGAAGCAATTCCATTTATTTCCTTCACAGTATGAGACACATTCATCAGTTCATACCTCAGTCTCTGCTTCTACCACTTAGGTATACCATATGTTCTGACTGATGTTACTTACTGAGTCAAATCTACCCAGATCCCTGTAAAAAAGAAGCAGCCATTTTTTTTCTAATCTTTTAGATCATTCTGACATACATAGTTGGGATTGCACTAGACCTGCCCTTGCTCCTAGCCTGGTTTGCTGATGCCAGCAAGTCAGACCATACATCTCTTCCAATTGGGAAATCTGATCTTTCTGTTTGACCATGCTGTAATTGCATGAACACACAATAAAGCTTTGCTCTAAGAAAAGAACGAAAACAGCCTTATAGTATTGGGATTTTGAAAGACAAAATGAATGTGATACATACAATCTCATAGAAATCCAGGATGAAGTACAGTAAGAAAGTAGGATTCTTTTCCAAATGCAATGCGACAGTAGAGATCCATCCAACAAAGTGGATCAGTTCAGCCACCGCATTCACTAGTCCAGAAAGTGTGGTATTCCTGCAGCAATGACATGATGCAACATTAGTATATATACACCACTTTGCAAATGGTAAAAAGGAAGAGTGGCAAAAAAGAAATTGAAGTTTATCCTTCTGCCCCACCAAGCATTCAGCAACATGTTTTCTTCAATATACCCAGTAGCATTGTTACCAACATTATTACAAACATGACCCAGCTGTCAGTGTTACAAGAATTTCAACTTCGGGACATTTCAATTTTCAGTGTCAATAGAAATGCTTTCAAAGAAAGAGAAAGAACAGGATTGACAAGGTAGCTTACAATATAGCAGAAGCATTACAGCATTATTAACCTTCTAGTCGGTCTTTATGCTAGTTAATGGGACTAGAACATACATCTACACGAGTAAACAACACATAGAACATGATATTGCATTTATTTCAGACAAACTTACAAAGAATAGACTTGAGAGTCAGACTCTGAGTCCCGATAAATTGCGTGCCAATTTAACCAGTTCTGCAAAAGCTCTTTCAGGCTCTCGAGAACACTGCACTGCAAAAGGCAAAAATAAAACAGGTTGATGACAGGTTACATAAGTGAATAATACTAAACAAAAAATGCCATAAGAATTGACATATACAAAGAAAGATATCAAGAGTTTCTCAGGACCACAAAGAGCAGTGAGCTAATTGCATGTCCCCTTGAACTGAATGTATGCATTACACAGTTTTTCCTGGAGAATGCAAGTTTTAAATACTGAGTTAAAATTGCAGTAAAAGAAATCTTTTTATTTTTGGTGCCCCAGTTTAATCCTAGTCAAAAACGAAAATATCGTAAAGGCACACAAATCCCCCCAAAAGTTACACTATATATATTTTACCCTCATTTGGGCACAGACTTCCCCAAAAGTCCCCTATGCAATCCCTCAGACTGCTACACCTGACACAAGTGCAGACAGCAATATCTACTAGAAGTAAACAGCCACTACACTCACTTAATTTACCTTAAAGTAAAGAGATGATGTGAAAAAAAGCTGTGACAGGGGATCATAGAGATGCGACTTCATTTCTGAAACAAATGAGAAAGCAGTATGATATCTGTGCACAAATGCTCTCTCTCAAGATCAGATACTGTCCAGACCCAAGGATCTGCAACACATACCAGAGAAGCTGCTGAGGGGAATCCAACTCACAAGTCTGAGGATTTGTGATCGGCAGCAAAAACCATCCCAGAGAGGAAGGCTTTTATACAGGAACTCTTCACAGGAAGGAAGTCCCTCCTACAAAGGAGATGATGACCATTCAAAAACTAAACTCCTGTGCCTGCACCTTGCCATGCTTACTTCACCCTGGAGAAAGGAAGAGGCTTACACCACCTTCCTGCCATACGATACACCAGGACATTCAAATTATCATTCTCAATATCATCCTCAAATTATGCTTCCTGCAGAAAAGAAGGCCATCTCCAGAATACTGAGTTGCTATAGGAATGTATGTTTTTACTACTTGAGAGAGTCACTTCTCAAAGATACTACAGGAAACACGTAAGTCCCAAAAGTACTTTAAGGGAAGACTTTGTGAGACCCTTGGATTACACAAAACAAGCACTTACCTGCAAGAAACACTCTGTCTTGTAGACTGTTTCTAGGAAGTCCTTGAATTCATCTTCATATCTGTTATCAGCTACACACCAGGTACATTCTAAACAAGGGAGAATACTGTATTTGAATATGTGCACAGCAAGAATATACACAATCAGGAACAAAAATGAGTTCTCCAGTAGTTTTTTTAACACTATGTGATTATTACTATAAAACTGAATAGCAAAGTACCATTACTGAAAGATGAAAAGTCTCAGACATCCTGTACCTCCCTACCACTCAAGGTAATACTAAGTTCCTACCTTCCTGAAGAGTCTGGCCCAACCAGTAATAGAGCCTCAGGTAAATACAGTCATCTTTGATGCAATTCATGTAGTGAAGCAATAAAGGGTTTGTTAGCACTGAACCCATCTGGGAAGGAAGCTGCAAGAATAATCAAGAAAAAAAAAAATTATTTAGTATTTGCATCAGCAAATAGCCAGAGAATCTCATTCAATCAGAGTTGTCCAATCCTTTTACCAGCAGCAAGGCCATCTCCAGGACTCATTCATGACCCTCAGGTAGGACTAGGTGCTCTCTTAGAACTAGGTAGCCCACACACTATTCACATATAAACAAAGCATAGAGGAATATCCTTTGATGTCTCAAAACATTCAGTGAGCTTACTGAGACCTTCTTGAAACTCACCTCCAGACAGTGGATATTTCGTAGGAGCTGAGAAAAGGTCTGCAGCTGCTCCACTGGAAAAGACTCATTTGTAGTGTACAAATCAACACAGTTCTTTTCCCTGCCCTCTTCTAAATTATTCATGTTTGTGCTGCTTGCAGGTATAAACAACTGTGTATTCCATTTCTGTAGAAAAGAAACACAACTGAATGCATTGGAAACTGAGTCACTGATAATCAAGCATACTTGTGACAAGTGTTCCCATAAAGGCTGTGTTTTGCAGAAAAGGTATCAGTGCTTTCATTATAATGGGAATGCTACATTTCTATAGAGCTACTCCACCTTTCCCCAGTGCTGAAATAAAGCCTAAGCACCATTATTTGCCAATATTCATAATGAAAACAGATACTTAACACATTCTGGGGTCTATCTTAGACCCATAACCTACCCTTTTTCGTGACTGAGGTCGAGCTGTGCCTAAAAACAGGAGCTGGGACACTGAAGAATTTTCCTGGTTTCTTTGCCTGACTGCATTGATTGCTGCTTTCCATGGGCCCTCTGAATTCTTGAAGTAAGTCTGAAAACATAAACCAGACATCTATGCAAGAAGCCAAACTAAAACAAAGTGACAGAAAGATCAGTTTCTATTCTGATAAATGTCACTACAATGGTGTATATACACTCAGCTCTGCTTGACAGACCAAGAGGCTAGGTTTTCACAGCACAGAACTCTCAGCATTCCTCAGTTTCATTACCTTTTGACTATAGTTCAACAGTTATGATTTTATTTCCTTCTGAAATGATGTCCCCTTTTTCCAGAAGGGATCTCCAACACTTCTGATTTACAATCCTCATTCAGATCAGGCATCAATTCATACAGTAAATCTCAAGTATACATTAAAATATAACATAACCAAAGTATGCTTATGCAAGTTACTAGGAAAGCTTCCCAAATTTAGCATTAGCGATATCTACCAAACAGAACAATTCAATGTCTAATTCAATTCTCAAATTAATGTAGATACTACACTAAAAAGAAAACTGGAAAAAATGAACCTAACACCTTTCCTACTTAAAATTTTGTCACTTCAACTGCAATCAGTTTTTAAATCCCAGTCAAGTACCAAACCAACACAACAGTATTCAGATTGCTCTGGGTCTGGGTAATCAAGCTTTTATTATACAAGTTAACACAGTGTGTTCGTAAACCCCAAATACATCTTCAACTGTTTTCCGTTGTTAGTTATTTACTTCACTTCTCTGCATGCCAAAAAATTTTAATTCTTCAACAGATGACTATGCAGCACAATGCAAAATATGAATTTACAGAGCAAAGTACACAAGTAGATTGAAACAAAACAAGTTTTTATAGAAACACACCTTGCCTACATATAAACTGTCTCTTCAAAACAAAAAACAACACAAAAAACCCAAACCCTAGGTCTATCCCACTGAAGCTCTGAAAGAAAATTTGTTGCAGAATTTAGGTCTCACCTACTGCTATTTTTTTTTATATATTCAGTTTTGGCTACATATATTCTACTAGGTCAAAGGGCTAAGCATACTAAGATAAGCCTCTAAAAGCAGAAGTCATTTTTTTTTGATGTTGCCTTGACGCTCTGACAAATCAGCTTACCGCATTTTTTTCCCCACTTTTTTCCCCTCTTTCCTATGACAGATTTTCCAAGTGGGAAGTTTACTTACTGACTTCCATTGTTATTTGTACTTGAGAAAGTCAGTGATTTGGACAATGCCTTGTACAAATCATAGAATGGTTTGGGTTGGAAGCGACCTTAAAGATAACTAGCTCCAACTCCCCTGCCATAGGCAGGGACACCTTCCACTAGATCAGGTTTTCAACACTTCCAGGGAAGGGGCATCCACAACTTCTCTAGGCAACTTATTCCAGTGCCTCACCACTCTCACAATAAAGAATTTCTTCCTAATATCTAATCTAAATCTGTCCTCTTTCAGTCTAAAACCATTACCCCTTCTCCTCTCCCCACACTGCCTGATAAAGAGTCCCTCCCCATCTTTCCTGTCCCCCCTTTAAGCACTGGGAGGCTGCCCTAAGGTCTCCCCAGAGCCTTCTCTTCTCCAGATTGAACACCCCCAACTCTCTCAGCCTGGCATCCCAGGGGAGCTGCTCCAGCCCCCTGATCATCCTTGTGGCCTCCTCTGGACCCGCTCAGACAGGTCCATGTCCTCCTTATGTTGGGGACCCCAGAGTTGGACACAGCACTGCAAGTAGGGTCTCATGGGAGCAGAGTAGAAGGGGAGAATCCCCTCCCTCAACCTGCTGGCCACACTTCTCTTGATGCAGCCCAGGACATTGTTGGCTTTCCGGGCTGCGAGCACACATTGCTGGCTCAGTCAGTGTTTCACCCACTACTACTCACAAGTCCTTCTCTGCAGGGCTGCTCTCAATTCACTCATTGCTCAGCCTGTATTTGTGCATGGTATTGCCTTGAGCCATGTGCAGGACAATTTATTTCTTGAAGAACTTAAGACTGTGTGAAACAAGTCAAAACCAGCAAGAACATCAGAAGGAGGATTAAAGTAAAATAAGAGAAACAAAACAGAAGGCAAGAAATCCTCATCTAAACATGATTTTGCTAAGTGAAAAGAAGAAATCTAATTCATCTTGACCACTAAATCATGCTATAGCTTAAATCTAAAGCTCAGTATAAATACTGTTTTAAGTACTAGTTCCAAATAGATTAAATCTAACTCCTTACCTTTGTTTTCCCAGAAAGGTTTATGGTCACCAGCTCAGGACAGAATAGTTTATACAGCGATAGTAGAGCCTGGAGATGAGGCTGCATTCCCTGTCAAATAGCAAAATAAGAGGAAAAACACGTGGGATATATTTTTTATGTAGAAATTGAAATAGTGTATTCTAGAAGTAAAAAAACCCAAATGACAACTAAAAGCTTTTTAAAGCGACATGTCAGTAAGCAACCATATATGAACAACTGAAAATGAAAGTAAGAACAAACTGTGTCAGTGAAATACCATAGGAAAGGGATTGAAGAGTTTTCTATAGCCGTAACTAATAAAAAGGAATTTAACTATCCAAACTATGAAAAATAATCTCCTGATGTCTAAATGCTCCAAAAAGATGTTGTTATAGCTACGGGGGGTTTTGTTTGGGATTTTTTTGGTTTTTGTTTTTGTTGAGGGGGGGGGTTTGTTTGTTTGTTTGTTTTTTTAACAAAAAAGGGAGCAAGATCCTCTACAATCTTCTTATTTCTCAGTCCTTTTTATACCACTTGAAAAAGGAAGGTGAATAGAAAATTAAAGATGGCAATAAATAAATGAAGCTGCCCCTTGCTTCAGAGATATTACCACATCTAGTCATAAAACGTATAGCTTCATGCATGTCATTGTATGTGCTCACAAAACACAAATGAAAATTGGGGATGCATATGCAAGATAGGCAAGCCCTGATGCTACAGACACTACAACCTAGAATTTGAAGTCTAAACCTGTCCTGAAATACTAGCAACTCCATTCTGTAAGGACACTAATCTTTCAAACTGCATTATTAACCATAGTTCAAACTTCACATGATTTGAAATAAACTCACCATTTTTACTTGGAGGCCAAGCAGTCTCCTAATCCGAAAAGGCTTGACTGGAAATAAAATTAAACACAATGGATTTAAAAACCACTGTATCAGACATTTAAGCAAAAATGCAGTATCGCTTTTATTAGAGAAAGTCATGCCAAAGCAAGCAGAACCAAATCAGTCTTATTTCTAGGATAACAAATAGGTTTCCAATTCAGAAAGCGTTACACAAATCAGGCTGAACTACCACTCATGATTCCTTGCCTTAAAAGCAATATATTGGCTAGCCATTGTATTAGCTCCATTGGAAGAAAAGACAGTGCCAGCAAACAGAATAACACAATAGTATTGCATCTCATACAATTGAATAGACTCACCATTTTCTTTCCTGGTCAGCAGGTAGAGCAGGTGGCAGATGTAGGGGCACTGCAAAGAAAATACAGCAATGAGCTATCCTGCTAGTGCGGACGGCTAAGCAAGATACACTAAAAGCAACATAGAAGCTTCACAAGCTAATACTGTTTCATTCAGCTGGCTGCCTCAAGTCATCTCTGCATCCCCACTGGGGCTGGGCATACTTTACTTCCCTTGGAACTAGCATGTTTTTTGCATGTCACATGTGTCAACTTTATTTAGAAACATTATCTACACTATGAGCACTCCCAGTAGTAAACAAGCTCTTCAAGTGAGCTTGGATCTTGGTTTTTGGAACATGGTCTAGATATTTCAGGAGTCAGCAGTGAAAGTACAATTATATTTTCAAAAAGAAAGGCATCTTTGAATCAAAATAATTTATCAGAGCTTCTAACTACAGTTGAGGCTATAAGGGTCTTTAAGTTTCACACCAACTCTGGTGTCCTTTCCAATTGGACCATCATGCCTGAAAATGCAATTTGAAACAGTAAGAACTTAAAGCCAGTTTTATGAAAAGATTATAACTAACGTTAACCTAAAACCACTGAAAAGTGCAAGAAATGTAACTCGGAACTTCTGGAACTTTAAAAGCTTTACCCACAAAATATCCTAAGCTGAAAGAACATTAATAATTTCCTATGTCTAATGACTGCCAAGGTCATCTTAATATGAACTGAATCCAAACACTTCAATATTTTAGCACTTGGAGGATTTTACAGCTGCCATATAGGAGAAATCTCCTGATTGCTTGTTCTCATTTAAGCTCATTTCAAATCAATTGAGTAGAACAGCATTTGGAGTTTATCACCTTTAAATAAACATTGCTCTAAAAGGTTTTTTTCTTTTTGCCCAAGGTATGCTATTTCTCCCCAGGAGTGGGAGACTTCACCTCCTGATATCTAAAATCAAAGGCAATCCCAGAGACTGCAGTGTCAATTAATCTTGGGAATTTAGACAGAATATAGTGTCACTGTGATACAGAACAGCAATTCTTGGAAAAATGTTTAAACTGCCAGACCACAGCATTGAAACTAAAATAATCATACAGTACTTCCCTGTTTCTGAATCTAAACACTAATTTTGATTCAGCAATCTTAGAATGCAAAATGACAAAAAATAAATTCCAGCCATCAGAAAATGGTCTCCAACCAACAGCTGTTCTAGACTAATTCTAGCATCAATATGCATACTACTAATGAACATTTAGGTTTATTTTGTCAATTTCATATATTCTTCAGCTCTCCTTACCATCTTCTCATCTTGGAGGAAGGAAAAGAAGAAGCCATACAGGGCATGAAATTGTTCCTTGTGATCAATGAAGTCAAACACTGAGATCAGCCATCTCAAAAAAAGCAGCTGCAGACAGGAAAAAAGATTTCTTATATTAAGTGATGAGCAAAAACAAGACAGACCAGTCACTAGCCAATTTAAGACCAAATCATTAAGGATACATACAACTCTCAAGAACAACCAGATAGCTACAGATGAACAGTACAGGGATAATTCAGCTGTGAAAGAAAGTCTACCAAAAGCACCAACTGCCCTATGAGAATGGAAAAAGCAGATCAGTTCTGAACATGTGGATAGGATCTGAGGGCCTATCACTACAAGACAGACACTGAGGTGCTGGAGTGTGTCCAAAGAAGGGCAACGAAGCTGATGAAGGGCCTAGAGCTCAAGTCTTATAAGGAGGAACTGGGGTTGTTTAGCCTGGAGAAAAGGAGGCTCAAGGGACACCTTGTTGCTCCCTACAACTGCCTGAAAGGATGTTGTAGCGAGGTGGATGCTGGTCTCTTCTCCCAAGTAACAAGCAATAGGCCAAGAGGAAACAGTCTCAAGTTGTGCTAGGGATGGTTTAGACTGGAAAAAAATCCTTCACCAAAAGGTTTGTCAAGCATTGGAACAGGCTGCCCAGGGAAATGGTTGAGTCACCACCCCTGGAGGTATTTAAAAGCTGTGTAGACATGGAGCTTAGGGATGTGATTTAGTGGTGAACTCGATCTTAAAAGTCCAACGTAAATGACTCTATGATGTAAACATTTGAGTAGACTACATGAAGACAAAAAAAAGACTCTTTTGTTAACATGTCATGTTGCCGCAGCCAAGATACACAGAACCTAAGGGACACCTTGCTGAAGTTGGTGAAGAATGCCTGACATAGCCTGAGTATTTCACAGATATGTTGGTGGAAAAACCATTCTTAAGGAATTCAGAGATGCACGACAAGCAGGAACTGTGCAAATTTCCACTCACACTTAAAAAGCGTTACGCTGTTCCCACTGCCGCTCCAGCAATGGGGGTGTCTGCCAATCTTTCTAAACGACAGTATCCTATGTAAGAACCTTGTACATGAAAACCTCAGGATTTTTGCTTCCTGAAAATGATCTGTCCTCATAATTCCTGTGCAGAAGCAATAACTACTGCAAACATTTACTAAGTTACCTGGACATTGTCTGAGCATTTGCCAACACACAGCCAAGATACAGATGAAACCACAGAACTTTCTGGTACTACTGAGGCTGGAATCAGGCTCTTCAGTAAACGAGTATTCACATTATCAGCTGGAAAACAAACAATTTAAAATAAGATGGTGCTCATGTACTAGGTTCTTTAATATGGTTTTCCAGGTTAAAATTCACTCTGGACAGAATTATTCAGAGCTTAATTACTTAAAGTAACAGTGCACAAGAATCTAGTAGGGACTTACCTATACCTCAAAAAATTATGTGAAATATTTATTTCCAGATTAAAGAAACAAAATGGAACATTTACTATTTTAGTACTGAAATAGCCATTAGACTCTTGGCAAGACAACCAAAAGTAGCACATTTTAATTTTAGTTGTATTAGCAAGTTTCACTATGTTAGTCTGATCAATTATTTTGATCTTGGGGAAAAGAAACCTACACAAACAGTTACAATATGGAAAAGACACAGTAGCTACTGAGGACGCACTTTAAGCCTTTCAGAGACCTGTAATTACAAACAAAGGAAACAAGCTTTTCAAAAAATATTTGTAACAAGGCATTACATTTTTCTGGATATCACTCCCATGTAGCAAGAACTGAAGTTAATTTTAGCATGAACTCAGAAATTACACTGAAGCATTTCAGAAAGATTAATTTTACACTAAGGTACCCAACAATACAGTCACCATAAACACATTATCTCAAGCAGGTTTGATTAGAGGGGAAGGAGACATTCACAGAAGACACAGTATATAAACAGTGTATAGCAGAATATAAACACTTTACCAAGTTTGCCACTGAGTGCCACGTTTAGCAATACATCAAGTCCTTCAGGAGGTAGCCCTCTTTGTAGGGCAATACTTTCCACAGTAGTCAAGTGTTTCTGCAGAACGCTGTTCTTTTTCAGTGAAACACAGTCTTGAACTAGGGAAAAAAAAAAGACAACAAACACAAGGATGAAACAACTTATGAACTGCAAATGAACTATGTTAAGCTTCTCTGAACTGTCCCTACATATATTCCTTTTTGTTGGGTTCTTTACACAGTAAGAAAAAGGGGAAAACCTTTGAAGACATTAAAGAAATATTACAAAGCTCAGGCGTTAAAGAGAGGAAAAAAAATAACTAATTTTTCCTGCTGTTTATTATTACTGTTTTTAAGAATTCTGTTATCTTTCAAATCCCAGGTAGCTGACTTTAAAACTGCTCTTACCTTTCTCAAAGTATCTCAAAGCTTGATCAAGGGAGTCTTCCTTCTTGTAATTTTCCTGATTGTTAGGAGATTGATGAAGCTGGACACTTTTTTCAGGGCCAATTCTCCCTCCTTTTCGCCATGCAGAGAGATCAGTCTGCTTTTTAAGGTTAACTTGCAGATGCTGTTTTGGGGTCTTATAACTCTGACTTTGCGGCATCTCTTCAGACTCCCAGCTGAGACTGGAGAATTTTACTCATTTGTCATGTGGGTTCCAATCCTTCATTACAAAGGGGCAAGAAAATAGATCAATCTCCAACAGCTGAAGAACATCAAAGAGCCAGTTCCCTGCAAGAAAAGAAAAATTTATTTTCTTGACAAACAGACTTTAGAGCAATCCTGTGTAATGTAACAGAGTAACTTTGGAGGAAATCATTTAGAGCCACCTGCCCTCAAAAAATCAGACAATATACTCAGAAGATGCACAGACAACAGTGTATTAAAATTCCATTCTTTCATTAAAAACAGGGGACAAAAATTCACAAGTAAAAATTAACACAAACTCCTTTCAATTTAGAAGTTATCTGATAAAATTTTATATAGTCTTTTGATCCAAAAATTAACAAAACCAGAAAGCTAGAAAAACACTATCTACAATTTTCTTCTGATTTTATTTTGTGCATTTTCAGTTTCATTCCTTGTATTGTGTATGATGGTACAATCAGTACACAGGTCATGATTTCCTGCTGGGCAATTTAAAGATTTTAGAGGATCGTGGCAACACTTATCTTCCAATTTTACAAAAATTCTGCAGCCTCTCTACCTAGCATCTAGGATCGAAGAAGATACGAAATTTTGTTAAACTTTCAAGTGAAGCACAAGAGCTAACAACACTGCAAAACTGCCTAGCTCTGTGTCAAATACAACAGTGAAAAGTGGCATTTCCTCATCAGTATGCTGGAGAGATCAACCTTTTACCCACAAAATGTGAAATTTTGCTACAATTTCCTGGATTTGTTAGAGTACGCATGCACATCCCTGGATTGCTGGAGCCTATATTTTGCTTCCCAGCTTTCCTGACACAATAAAATATGATTTTCAATTTGTATTCCCTCTTCAACTCTCGTTTCCTTAAGATGATAGAATCATTCCTGTTTTCCTATAGGTCTGTTTGTCACTAACTTCCCTGTGCAGCATTCTGAGAACAAATGTCTGGCTAGCTATGTCAAGACCTCCTCTGAAGCATACACTGATATACGTACACAAGGTAGTCACATTTACAAATGAAATCTACTGACTTCAGGTGAAATGTACCCCCTCAGTATTAAAGGACAACACCAAGCACATCAAAACTCCCACAGAGATGATTTGCGTGATGGTAACTAAGAATAACCGAGATGCTTCAAAACAGTGAAAATTCCTGACAGCTACTATATTGTGGTTAGACTGACATGAGATAGACTGACACATAAGAGTTGCAGAAAACCCCAAACATTCAGGAATCTTGTCTGTTGCATCTTGAACCATCTGACCACACCAAGTTGTTTAAGAAGCAGATCGAGCTAACAGTCATCGGTTACCACACACTGGAGTACAAAAACAGCTTTCTCAGAGGTTCCTTTGAACCTGCTCTACGTGTTGTTTTTTAGTTCTGTCCTGCAGAAATTCTAACAGAGAGGTTTGGTGGGAAAGAGAGCGCCACCAGACCTTAAAGCAGAACTAACGGACAGGCTGGAACACCAGTTCGGACCAACGGCGAGCCCACCATTGCACAGCTCCTCAGTCCTAGACACTTCCACACGGGTATTTGGCACAAACACCTCCCTCTCCTCCCCAGCCGACGCACGCACCCCCTGCCCCCTCCAGCTCTCCACACCCCCGGACGCCCCCGTGGAGCCCCCCGTGACGCTCTGACGCGGGGGGCAGCCCTGTGGGAACCGCGGCCCTCCCAGCCCAGCCACGCCGACCCCGGGGCCCCAAGGGCCCGCTGCCCCGGGGAGGGGGAAACCCACGGCCGCGGGGCCCCCACGGCCACAGTCACCTCCCGCCAGCGCCGGCTCCAACCGCCCCGCAGTTCAAACTTCCGCGCCGCCCCCCGCGCATGCGCAGGGCCGCAACTGCCGGGCGCCACGCCCTCTTCCTCTTCTTTGGCTCCTCCTCCCGCGCATGCGCAATGGCCGCGGCGTGTGGGCGGGGGGAGAGTACGGCGAGGGGGCGCCCGTGGGAGCTGAGCGGGTGGGACTCGAGTGGGGTTGGTGGGGGGCGGTGGCCCTTCTCGCCCCTCTTCTAACGGGCAGAGGTGCCGAGGCAGGTCCCACGGCGGCCAGGCGGCCGTGGGGAGCCCTCGACGGGCCGCGCAGCGGGCACCGCTCCTGACAGAGCCCGCGACCGCGGCAGCTGGGGGAGCGCTGGCGCTGGAAGGTGTCCGGATGAGCTGACCGGAGTGAAATTACGGGCTTGGTGATAAAAAGAAGAAATAGCGCAGGGGAGAGAGGAAGTAAATTAGCATTGTGGTCTTACAAGAGGACTAAATCACTTCGCGGTGCCTTATAACGTCTAGCAAGCAAAGGTGACTGGTAGCTTCCAAAAATAGTTTGCTAATGCTGGTGGGCAGTGTTGGAGATTAGCCCAGTATGGATAAACAGACTTCTTGTTGCTGGAGTCCAGAAGAGTCTTGTCTTCTTCTAATAAAGAACGTGTAAACTCTACTGTGGCTGTAATTCATACTGTTGCAAATGTGAAAAGATGGGGACGTATTTCAGAATCCACTTACAGCCTGAAGTTTTTGCAGGGATAAGGTTTGCTAGGTGGAATATTTTACATGTATTGTGGAATCTGTCGAGGTCTTGGTGAAGAACATTACAAAAGACAACACAAGCACAGTTCCAAAAGTTTGCTAAGTTAGATGCACATGTGAGGGGCAGCTGCCCAACAGTTGACAGCAATTCAGTTATGAGTTCTTTTTGTAGGTATACACATCATGGTGTGGTTTTGAGTTGGTGGGTATTCTTTGTTTGTTTTCTTGTTTTGTGTTTTTGGGGGGGTTGTTTTTTTAATTTAAAAGTGATTAATAACTCCAGCCAGGGTATGGTAGATGGAAGTGTCTTTTGGGAAGTAAAACAAATTCTATATAGATTTGGGATGACTTTGAGGTAGTCTGTAAAGATGATTGTCTAACAAGGGTCAGGGTGCACAACTGATAAGGGATAATTAGTTCCTCTTTGGGGCTCTAGGAGGAGGATTTTTCAGCATATATGCATTTGGGACTACATCTGTTTCAGCGGCAAACTTAAGAAAACTGGAGATACTATATATGAACATCAATTTTTTATTGAGATACAATACTGATATTTTACTGGTGTTTTAATATATTTTCTTGCTGCCGCATTGTACTGAAGCACAAATTTGAGATTATTTTATTAAAATGTTCAATCATCTCTTTAAATGCCTGTGGTTATTAATATCTGGTCAAGTAGTGTTCAGATGGCTTCCATTCTGCATCATCTTGTCTTTTGCTGAAATTCCCCTGACATGATTCTACCCGTTCTGCGCAGTGTTTGAGCATAAGAGAAATATTTTCAGATATGTCTCTCAAAAAAGGAATTTATGTCTGTCCAACATTTTTCTCTAAATTTCAAAAAGTTTATTTTCATGAATAATTAAGAAAATAAGGAAAAACTGAAAACAGACAAACATCAAGAAGAACAAACTCAGAGGTAACACACGCTTCTTACAACACTCTGTAAGATTTGAGATACACAGGGGTTCAAGCTCTGGTGACAGTGATACCAAAGACTTAAACAATTATACAAGTATACAGAGAACAGGCCCCCTTTGTGTAAACTTTATGCAGACAAGATAAGCAAGTCTGCGTGCCAAAGAGCAATCCAAACTGTGAATTGTGACCATAAATGTGCAAACTGAGTTAGGGTCCATACCTCAAAACAGCCACCAGAGACCCTTCCCCAATTCAGTACGCTTGCGTGGAGGCAGTTTTGCAATGTTTTAGTATATGCACTAGATTTCCTGGAAATAATTGGGTACTTCTCAGAAATTACATGAATATTCATTTTTTAAATGTATATAATGAGTGTGCCTTAGTCCCTCGGTGTGCATGTTAGGCAGAGAACTCCCCCATGCACCCAGCGCTGCAATAAGCCAATGTCGGCTTTCTAAACCATCATTTGCTTTGGAGAGTTTTCTTGGTTACAATTTTCAGTAACAGAATTTGGTGACCCAGATGGGAACCAAGCTCTCAGGAGTCTCGACAGACCAGAGAAATCTTGAGGACTCCAGTGCACACCAGAGTATTTTGGGGGAGGCCTTCCGATTCCCTGGTGGGGTGAATTTCCGAGACAGCTATCTGGGAGATTAACGACATTGGTCATAAGTATTGGTTGCTTACAAGTAAGTCGTATCTGAATTAAGTATGCATTGTTGAGCTACTGGTATCAGTATTGGAACTTGTAGTGCACAATTGTGTAATCCGTACACTACTACGGGGACATCCAGAGTCCAAATTTTGTTTGGGTATTTGTAGTAATTTTGAAACTTTGTAAAATGGGAGCTGGACAGTCTATTGAAGGGGGAATTCTTAAATGTTCTCCCTTGGGTTGTCTATTAAAAGATTGGAGCAAGTTTGGGGGCGACCCCCTCACTCATAAGAAGTTGATAAAATATTGTAATCATTGGTGGCCCTTGTATAGATCAGATGATCAGGAGAAATGGGCTAAGAACAGAAGTGTAAACTATAATACAGTGTTGCAATTAATGTTGTTTTGTAAACACGAAGGAAGATAGGATGAAATGTCATATGTGAATTTGTTCTTTGCATTATGGGATTATTATGATATACATAAGGAGTGTGTCTTGATTGCAAGTGAAAGTGGTATATTAGCACTAGAGGCAGAAAATAAGAAATTGCCTAAGTATTGTTCGGTATGTAGCATCAGCAAGTGATGCAACAAAGAAATGGGAAGAAGAGGAGGACGCTGAGATGTTGGTCGGACCAAGAAGGGGAAATGGGGCAAGGAGAAATGAGCAGGATATGGCAGCACAGGGCGAAAGGGGGGGTAAATGGAAGGCAAAGGGAACAAAAGAATAGTGATTTGGATAGTTCCGATGAGGAGGAAGATTTCAGTCTGATGGTGGGTAAGAGTAGGTGGGGAAATACTCAGAATATATAAGCCCCTCTCAGGCAAGCGGTGGGACCGGATGGACCAGTTTGGGTAAAAGTGCCATTTTTGATGTCAGATTTAAAGGCTTGGAAGCAGATGACAGGCCTATTTAGGGGGGACCCCAAGCGGGTAAAAAAGTTATGGAAACTATATTTGAAAATCATGATCCAGATTGAAAAGATCTACAAGTTATCTTAAACAACTTAGTGTCTTACGAGGAGAGAATTATTATGGCCAGGGCTAAAGAGGGGGCAGAACAAGTCCGTGTTCAAACTGCACAGGCAGGACGGATAGGGGATCATTTTCCTCCCAAGAACCCTAATTTGGATCCCAACATCCCTGCTCAAAGGTTATTATTAGCTAAATACCAACAACTGATTTCACATGGTGTTCAGAATGCTATTCCAAAGTCAAAGAATTGGTATAAATTGTATCAGGTCATCCAAGGAAAGAACAAGGATCCCTCTTCTTTCTATGAAGGACTAATGGAAGCTGCTAGGAAATACATTGATTCAAATGCAGAAATTGAGGTGCATGCTGTCTTGGTCCACATTTTTATGGGACAATCTAGTGCAGACATGGAAATTACAGGAGTTAGAGGGAGCAGATGCCTGCTCATTGGATAGAATATTAGAAAATTCTTGGAGTGCATATAACAATAGAGAAAAGGTGGAAGAAGAAAAAAAAAAAAAAAAAAAAAAAAAAACTTAAAGGTAGTAAGATACTGGCATCAGCTATAGCCCAGGAAAATGGTAGGGTCAGAAGGCAGGGCTGTTGGGGCCTGAGGGGAAGAAGGTTTTCTGGTGGAGCACAAAGGGCCGGAATACCATTAGGAAAGGATCAGTGTGCTTTCTGCAAGGAGAAAGGACACTGGAAAACGGAATGTCCACAACTAAGCAAGCAGGGCCCAGAGGAAATGCTGAGGCAGGCTGCTAACATGATGATGTTAGATTCAGACTGAGGAAGACCAGGGGAAGAATCGGAACCCTCCCCAACAGAACCCCTCGTTATAGTAAGATTGGGGAATGAGAACGTAAAATTTTTAGTAGATGCGGAGGCTACTTACTCAGTATTGAATACATGCAAGGGTAATGTTAGTAATCAGAGCATGTCAATTATCAGTGCCGCAGGGCAGAAAGAAAATCAGTCATATTTCCAGTCTTTGAAGATTGGAATTGGGAAAAGGGTGTTAATCAATCAATTTCTCTATATACCAGATTGTCCTGTATCACTATTAGGACAGGATATATTAAGTAAATTGAATATATAAATTACTTTTGAAAAAGGGAAAATATTCCATATTGCTGAAAATAAAGCTTTGGATGCACAGATTGCCCAGCAGGAAGTAATATATTTGTGGTTCACAATTTCCCAGGGCCAACGTAGTCTTGGAACTGAAAGAAAAGAGGCAATTTGTCAAATCTCAGAACCCAAGAGTTTAGAGCATTTCTCAGAATGTCCAGATGGTGTCGTCTATGGATAACGAATTCTGGACTCACTGCCAAACCCCTATGTGAAGCTGTACAAGGGGAAGGAAACCTTGTTTGGACTCGGGAGTGCAGAGGTGCATTTACCAAATTGAAACAGGCCTTAATGAGTGCTTCAACTCTAGGCTTTGAAATTTAGAAAAAACATTTGAACTAGTTGTACATGAGAGACTGCATATTGCCTTAGGAGTGTTCACCCAGAGACTGGGATCATGGAGAAGACCCATGGGGTACTTTTCAAAACAATTAGACAGTATCAGCAAAGGATGGCCAGCATGTCTCCGAGCAGTGGTAGCTACAGGACTACTGATCCAAGAGGCCCAAAAATTGACGCTCAGGAAAAAGCTAACTGTATTTGTGCACCATGCAGTTACAGCAGTTCTAGAACAAAAAGGAGGACACTGGTTGTCACCAAGCCAGATGCTAAAATATCAAGCTATTCTTTTGCAATAGGAAGTTGTGGAGCTGAAAGTAACCACAATCCTGAATCCAGCGACCTTCCTAACTGCTGATCTTGGTGGAGAGGAATTAACTCATGACTGTTCACAAATGATGGAGCAGATATATTGCAGCAGAGCAGACTTGAAAGACATGTGAATGGAAAATGCAGACTGGGACCCATTTGTAGGTGGTAGCAGCTTTATACGGGATGGAATGCAGAAAGCAGGATATGCAGTGGTAACCATTAAGGAAGTAACTGACGCCAAAGCTCTGTCATCTAACAGTTTGGCTCAGAAAGCAGAGCTCATAGCCTTATTAAGAGCATTAGAACTGTCAAAGGAAAAAACTGTTAATATATGGACAGATTCAAAGTTTGCCTCAGGGGTAGTCCATGCTCATGGGGCCATTTGGAAAGAAAGGGGACTCTTAACATCTCAAGGATCCCCAGTCAAATACAGGCCAATGATCCAATAATTATTACAAGCAATTCATCTACTTAGACTAGTACCAATCATGCATTGTAAGGTGCATCAATTTGGAAATAGTCCAGTGCATACAGGAAGCCATATGGCAGATAAAGCTGTGAAAGCAGCAGCTGAAAGTCATTATTGCTAGTTTTGCTGAAAAAGGTCCAGAGGTTGGGACCTAAGAGACCACAGTATACACTAGAAGACAACCAATTGGCTAATCTACTGAAGGCAAATAAAAAACAAGAGGAGTGGTAGGTGAGTCCTTCACATCAAGTAATAGTTACACAGGAAATTATATGTGAATTGGCTAACAGACAACACCAAGAAACTCACTGGGGAATTGAGACAATGGTGGAGGCATTGAAAACACAAGTGCTAAGTGTACAAATGACTGGGGTAGCCAAAAACATAGTGAAGAAATTAGAGTTATGCTTGAATTATCCTCACTTACCCCGAAGACCTTTACCAGGGCTGATAAAGAGAGGAAACAGACCAGGAGACTATTGGCCAATAGACTTCCAAATTACCATGGCAAAATGGATACCAGTATTTCTTAGTAATTATAGATACTTTTTCAGGCTGGCCAGAAGCTTGTCACACCAACAAGGCAGAAGAAGTAGCGAAAGTGTTAGTTAAGGAAATAATATGGAGATTTGGGGTACCTATAGGACTATCTTCAGATAGGGGATCCACACTATATAGCAGAAGCCGTTCAAAGTTTAGCTAAAGCATTAGGAGTAAAATGGGATCTCCATACCCCATGGAGACCTCAGTCAAGTGGGAAAGTAGAAAGAATGAATCAAAGCCTAAAAAGATAGGTAAGTAAAATTTGCCATGAGGCTCAGGTAAAGTGGCCAAATGCTTTACCCTTAGCTTTGCTACGAAGACATATCCAGCCTAGAACTAAAGAAAAGGTTAGTCCTTTTGATATCATATACAATAGCATACACGTGCCTGTGCATCAATACCAACCCAGAGACTGGGTGTATCTGAGGATGTGGTCAGACAAACCGTGGAAGGAGAAGTGGAAAGCACCTTTCCAGATTTTACTCACCACCTACACAGCTGTCAAGCTCGAAGGAGTCACTCTGTGGATACATCACAGCAGGATCAAGCCAGCCATATCACCAGAATGGACTGTCAAACAAGAAGAACCTTTATGCTTAAAATTAATTCAGGAATCATGATGTTCTGGGTTATACTCTTGCGATAATGTCAAGAAGTGCAGAAGTTGATACAGATGGAGAGGCCAACGCAGACTTAGATGAAAACTTAATTCTAACTTTAATACAAGGGTTTGGTAGAGTGTGTAATCTTACCAGTGTTACAGCATGTATCCCAGTTCCTCATTCAGCCAGTCAGCATATCCCATGGGGTATTACACTGATAAATTCATCTTTATTAGAGGAATATGATAACATCACAGAGGCCTTTAAACGTGCTAACGCTTCCTAATATTTAGATAAAGAGAGTAAGTGTACACAGAGAGGTAGCCATGTTTTACAATATGCTACTCCTTGGAGATCAGCAGATAATAGCACAGTATTTGGGAGGGGTTCAGAGGAACAATGTCCCATAGGATCACAACCCTTAAACACCCACTTTTTGCAGATAGCTTTAGCAGCCTCTGGCAGACAGGCTGCAGGATTATTGAGACTGTTACCAATAATGCAGTAGCTAATGGGACCACTGCTCTGGAATGTACTAATCTTAGGAAAAAACTCAAAACTTGGACCAGACCTTTAGAAGAGTATTAGAAGTATATAGGAAACATATATTGGTGCTCCAATTGGGGCATGAAGCCTATTTATAACATTAGCAGAGCCAATTGGAAGTGCCCCAATGTCTTATAAATCATAGTAAAATATTGATCTTACATTCTATGTTGATGATGATGGAATATTGCAAGAAACAAAATTTCTCAAATGCAGACTGTAGACAAGAAATTCTGTCCCCAAGTTATATGACATGCGTCACATCGGATGGATACTGGACTACCCAACTATGGCTTAGTACAGTAACTAGACAAGTAACTTGAGGATTATTGACCCTCTGTCCAACATGGAAAAAGAGTCCAATCACAGCCCATTATTGGGGATGAATTAAAAGAGATACTGAAACAGAAAAAGACCTTGATATTTGAACAGAGCCTTTCACAGCAGTACAACTTGATTATGGATTCCAAAGTTTCCTATTACCAGGACTAACAGCTTTAGAAAATTGAGTATGATAGAAAATTTGACTTGGCAAGTAGAAACTTTGTCAAGATACACTCAAAAAGGATTCCAAATTATTAATAAACAGGTCCAAGCTAATACTAAAATGACTTTAAAAATAGGCTAGTCTTAGACTTGATGTTAGTTAAAGAACAAGGGGCATGTGAATATCTTAAATTAGACAAAGAACACTGCTGTATCCACAACCCAAATATTGCTGATAACCTGCAAGAACAATTAGACAAAATCAGAAAATTAGCAGAAGACAGCAGAGTGACCAGGGATGCAGCAGAGAATAATTGGCTCAACAAGATCCTCCAAGGATTAGGTGGCTGGTCTCTAAAACAATGGTTAGCCACTTTGTTGGAAGTAATAATTTCTGTAGTTATAGTTGTTATAGAAATCTGCATAGGTTGTACTAAGAGAACCATTGAGAAAAATATATGGAAGTAGTAGGAAAATCTAACTACTTCCAAAGGAGGGATTGATACCAAAGACTTAAACAATTATACAAGTATACAGAGAACAGGCCCCCTTTGTGTAAACTTTATGCAGACAAGATAAGCAAGTCTGCGTGCCAAAGAGCAATCCAAACTGTGAGTTGTGACCATAAATGTGCAAACTAAGTTAGGGTCCATACCTCAAAACAGCCACCAGAGACCCTTCCCCAATTCAGTACGCTTGCGTGGAGGCAGTTTTGCAATGTTTTAGTATATGCACTAGATTTCCTGGAAATAATTGGGTACTTCTCAGAAATTACATGAATATTCATTTTTTAAATGTATATAATGAGTGTGCCTTAGTCCCTCGGTGTGCATGTTAGGCAGAGAACTCCCCCATGCACCCAGCGCTGCAATAAGCCAATGTCGGCTTTCTAAACCATCATTTGCTTTGGAGAGTTTTCTTGGTTATAATTTTTGGTAACATCAGGACTCCCCTCAGCTCACTGAAGTTGTACGTGGGATGAACAATGAGGTACCTGGACACGTTCAGACCTTCATGTATCAGCAATAACCAACAATTCTATAAAGTTGTGGTAGTTGTGGAAAAAGGGATTTTTTCTTGCAAGTAAATAGGGAGCATGATGCTCCTTGCCAACAGCAGACAGATATTTTGTGAGTTCTTTGGGCAGTTCTGCTCCCCATCCCCTCATCTGGGATTTTTACTCTCTGCCAAGAGGGGTAAAGAGGTGTCATTATCTCATGTGAAACAGGCAAAAAATTACTGTTATCAGGCTCTTGTCCCAGTTTCAGAGCCTCTGCAAAGTGTGTAAATCAAGGAAGATGTAAACAGCACATCCCATGTTTTCCCTGGATAAGCAGTCCAAAGAAAGGACTGGGTACAAAGACACCAAAGGCTAAGGGACACCTCTCTCAAACACAACAAACAGCACTTTTATGCTTGGTAGGGTCCTTTCCCCCCTTGACTATGGAAAAGGAGATGCAGATTTGTGGATGGGGCTGCACAAGCCAGCACAGGGACACTGGTTATGTTCTACCCAGCCACTGTTGCCAAGACTGCCACATAGCAGAAATGCATCCAGGCCAGGTTTCAGCTGCCTTGAGGCTCAGGGCTGATGCTCAGGGACTAATCTCCCTGCTGCAGCAGTGCTGAGTTAGCGTGACTACCTGCCCAAGTCTTTGCCCATGCTCTCAGGCTGGTTTTGCAGCTTCTGCTGAGGCCAGCACTACTCCAGCCAGGCTGCTAACTGCCTCCAAGCTGTCCTGGTGAAAGCTAGCTTGTATTTTTCTACATTACAGGGCAGCAGCAAAAGCAAGACTACAGTGTAGACATACCATGTGTGTCTCAGACCCCAAGTGCAACTTTATTTAGACAGACAAAAAATATAAATAGGTAAATAAAAAACAAATTTTCTGGGTGATTTTGGAGAGAGCTGCCTTGAGGGTCCGTATTTCTCACACGCGCTCAACTAGGATACCTTCATTTTGCCTTTCTCAGGAGCTGCTTCATGGATGAGTGGCTGCTCATCCCCATTCACTGACAGGATTCTCTTTTCTGGCAGCTGCTCCTCAGGCTGGCGGGCAATCAGCAGACGACAGGTAAGCAGGATCCCAAAGACTAGGGCATGGGCGTAACGCTTGAGTGGATCCCCCACTAGCTGGTGGAAAAAGAGCACAGCCAGGACAAGGAGGAGGAGGAGAAAGTTGGCCACGTCTTTGGGACGACCAGGCACCAGTGTCATGACAATGCCGCATGCTACTTCTAGGGCACCAATGCTCTTGCGGAGAAGGATGGAGCTGACTCCTATCTTCTTTAGCATGGGGAGGGCCCGCACGTAGCTTTTGTACGCTCGTTTCTGAAATCAAGCAGTAATAGCGTAGAACACCACAATGTGAGAAAGCAAAGGCAAAGGTGACTTCCACTGAAATAGACTGATGTGCAATATGACCTAAAGATGACTTCAATCATCGCAGATCCCTCTGGCACAATATCCAATCTGTAACCCTAAAGCTTTTGTTGGGGGGATAATCAACACCATCAACTTGCAATTCCCCCTTTATAAGCTGTTGTCTCCTCACTGGAAAATAGTTCTGCAGCCTAGCACCCATCTTTGGAGCTAGGACCAGGCCAGGTGTACCTTCTCCTGAAATCTGAAGTTACAATTGCTAGAATAAGCAATGCAGAACTATGTTGTGTAAAAAAAAGTACCTCTCTCTGAGAGTAGCTTGTCCTTTATAATTAAATAACACACCTAATCCCTGGAAAGCTAAGGCACAGCAAGTTAAAACAGAAGTCTCTTTTTTCCTCAAAGCAACTTATAACATCCCAGTGTTTACAGGCAGTACAATCTTAGCATAGAACTATACATCAAAGCTGACATTCATCAACCGTATCCTGTGTTTACATACCTTTATGATACCTTTATTCCTCAGATGAAAGCAAACTGACGTTTGACATCCTTTGCTCCCTCGATTATGCTGGATTTTAGAAGCAGTGTAAATTGCAAGACAGCCTCCTTACACAGCAGCCTCATTGTTTCAGGGAAGAAACCACCTCTGTCCTTATACACATCCAGTTCTTGCAGTTGAACATTAGGTGCTTGTGGGCTTACCATTTTTGTTTGGCATTTTTTTCTTTTTCAATCAAGTATTTCCTTTATATTTTAATAAAGCCCCTAGCTATTGGAGGCAGTGAAATTATTTCCACTTACAGCTGAGTATACTATCACTGCAGACCTTCTTGCCACTCTGTTCTCTGCTTTCTAATCAGGGAGAGGGAAATGGAAGCTGAATCTTGAGTACGGAGTTGTTCAGCTCTCTCAGACACTGATCAGATTGTAGATTTACTTCCATGTGATTTTGGAAACCTGCACTACAGGTACACAGAACTTCGCCACTACTCTGTAAATTTTGCTGCGTCCTTCTAAGAAGAGCTGACACTTCACAGGTGGTTAAAAAATATATAGATCTGTCAATTTTGCTCTTAAATAATTGAAGATTTCATGACATATTTAAGTGTATGCATTGTAAAGATGCATTTTAAACCTTCAGTGAATAAAACCTCTCAGAGTATTTTTAAACAGTTGTGAAAAATAAAGCTTTTTAAATAAATGTACTATCAGCATGTCCTAGAGTACTCTGGTATTTTAAGTATTTTATTAGACAAACTAGCATGTCTGGTTCTTGCTGAATGAAAAACTGCAAGTTTGGTGTTGCAGGTGGATAACAGAGGTTCTCTGCTTGGGGCAAGAAGCCATGCTTATTGATTGGCAAGATCAGGTTTCACAGTCTCCATTACATGACAGATCACCCTGGTATGCAGCGCAGCAAAAGCCTGAAAGCCTAATGAGCATCAGCATGCTACAATATGGGCTATTAAGAATGATGGTGCTGTGTAATATCTGAGTACCTCTGCTTTCTCTTTGGAAAAATGGAGATCATTCCTACCTGTAGGCCTGACTCTTGGTAAAACAGAAAGGGACAGAGAAGCAAAATATTTTACAGAGGAAGGATTTGGCAATGCTGCTAAAGTCTCAGTGTTTTTTTTTTCTGTCCCTTATGCAGCAGAAGCTTAAGAGCTTTGTTTTCTGGGCATTTTATCTCAGTCTCTTGCTCCTGAGTTACTTCTTGGTGATCCTTCTCTGTGAGACCCCCTGTGCTGGACTGCAGACAAGGTACTGCGATTCAGATGTTATTTGAGAGCTAAGGAAAAGCAGCTGGAGCAAAGGGAGAGAACAGAATATACTGGAAACTTCCAGTACCCTTTTTTTTAGGGCCACAAAAATTATACCAACGATTTTGAGCTGCTGCAATAAATATAAGGGGGGGGGCGGGGGAAAGGGTGGCAGGAGAATAAACAAACATAGACAAGGAAGCACAACGTAGCAGCCAGCCCTTCGCCTGCCTGCAGCTCACAGCCAGCAAATTGGCTCTGCAGCAGGGCTGGCCCTAGGCAGAGAGGAGCACAAAATAGCTCACCAGCTGAGAAACACACACAGTGACTTCTGCCTCTTGTCACCCCTTTCCCATTAGGCAAGAGAAGGAGAGGCTCATTTCCCAGGCTAAAGAGAATAATAAGGTGACAATAGTATCTTCTTCTGCCAGCTAAGAATATCAGAGCATTTCAGAGTCATGAATTAATCCCTGCACAAGACTGGTGAGGTAGGGACAGTCAGTGTCATTATCCTTGCTGTAAAGCACAGAATTCTGAGGATGATTATCTGGCTGCCAAAGCAGGCATCTGCTTTTCCTACCCTGAGTCCAGGGGGTATGCATTCTCCCAGGGACCAGCTGTACCTGCCTGCTACATGTCTGGCACATCTTCAGACCTTGCTTTTCAGAGACCCTTGTGTCCCCATCTTTTGCAGGCATTGGTGTGCTGTGCTACCTTGTCTTCCTTGCCTCCCCTCCCCATCCTTGTCCACAAGAGGTTTCTCCATGGATAGGATCAGAGGGAGCCTAGGGGAGGGCTGCGTGGATATCCTTGGCACTGCGTATTATGTTTCTCTCCATGTCCATCGAATAAGGAGACAGATTTAAAAATAATCCCTTCTTTCCTCTCCCGCCCATCACTCGGGGCTCCAGAGCAATCATTGTCTGTGTATCCCACTGCAAACACTTATTCTGCCGCAAGGTTGAGGGGAGAGAGCACTAATGCATCCCCCTCCGTGCTGCCGTACTCACCATCTCATTGTAGGCATCTCTGCTGAGCCGAGGAGTCAGTTTGATGGTCCCCATAAAGACAAAGAAGAGCCCCAGGGCCACCGAGAGGGCGACGATGGTGATAGTCCTGGGAGATGCCATGGAGCTGCTGGGAACAGGTCCTAGTGAGGCCTTCTCTCTCTGGCTGCCAGCCTGGGCGGGAGGTAGTCAGTCACCATTGAAGATGAGGAATAAAGCTGCAGAGGCAGAGAGGGTGACAGCGGGAGGGGGATTCAGCCTCCTCCGCTCAGCAACCTCCGGGTCCTAATGCCCCACAGCCGCGCAGGCAGAGCCAGGCTGCTCTGCACCTGCTGAGCAGTGAGCATCCCCACCGCTCCTACCACTGAGTCATCCTCTGTTGCCTCGCACGTTCCATAAATTACCCACAGAAAGCTGAAGCTGAGACAGTTCTAGGGGTGCGGGATGGCAGCCAGACACACAGCACAGTTGCGCACGAGCGGGAAAACGATGACGTGTTAGCGGAGGGCACGGGAGTAACCTGCTCTGGAGGGAAAGTGGTCGCAGGTCTCTGGTACACAGGCAGCTTTCAGATGCTTAGATGCTAATACACAGCAAATAACATATTGCTTAGTGTATTTGCCCCAGAAAAGCAAAACAGATGTCTTGCCCCTGTGACTGTCCTGGAACCTGACACGGAGGCCACTGTGCAACCCTCCCCAATTGCAGATAAAACCTGTCCTGCATCTTCAGCACTCCAGAGGTTAGTGGAAAGGTTTCCTAGTCCTCTGTCACTTTTTGATTTAAAGTCATTATCTCTCCCCCGCTAATTTGCAGCAAATTTCCTTTTGACAAAAGCATAGCCAGGGTAGGCGGAAATCCATTCAGATCTCGCGGCGAGAAGCCGAGGTAAAATTACACAAAAAACTGCTGGAAAACGGCATTCCTCGCTATAAAGTGAAAACAAGAGGCTGTAACAGTGTGCAAGAATCTTACACTTGTGCGATAGTACAAGACTGACACTTACCTATGCCAGTCAGGAATCTCTACGTCATCTCCCTTTCTGGTGTAGTAAGTCTCAAGTCCTAAACCCATGTATTTTAAGCCCCCATGGCTTGAGACTGGTGGTGGTGGTTATTCCAAGCTCAGAGTTCCCTAGAACTGGATTTAAAAGTCTTAATAATACAGGCACCTCTCCCCGTTTCACTGGGAGTTTGTCAGCCTTGATTCACCCATATCAGACAGGGAATTCCTCTTTTGGAGGAAAGAGTCAAGTTTAACAGCCTGATTGTAGAAACCTGTTCTGCTACTGGTCTGGCCTAGATGACCAGGATAAACCAAAAGGTAACTTCAATACAATATAAAAATAAATTAAAAAAAAAAAAATAAAAGGAGTCCTCAAAACAACGTGGAGTTCACAAAACACAAGGGGATTCTGCTTACTCAGACCTACCTCCAGGTTGTAGCAGCTCCATCTTTTGAAGAGCTGAAGAGAACTTCATATAACATTGATGTTCACAGCTTGCCAGTCAGTGAGCATAGCAGGCCAGATACAAAACACATGAAATTTTTGAATTGGCTATTGCTGAGAAACGTGATGAGGAAAGAGCTTGTTGCTTCTGACATTTTCACAGGGCATTTCACATTTAGGTATCATTAAGGATTAGCGGAGAAGGGGGAAGCAGGTGTGGAAGGAGAGACACTGAAATCTCTTCTCTCTTAATTTCATTTTATAGAAAAATCTTTCTCATTGCCTCCAACTTATCCACGTGACTGACAGCAATTCAATATTGGGCTTGGAAGTTTATGCAGGAAATATTTCTCTGACCCCAAAAGCATGAGGAGTTCTAGTTCCTACAGTTTCTTCATAGCAAGTGCACTATCAACTTGAAAAAATATCTGCAATATCCTTGAAACACACAGAGAATGAATGCCATGGCAGTATTTGAAAATACAGTGGATTTTAGTACTTCATATTCACATGTTGATGGTGGAAACCCACAATATCAAGGAGAGCGTTATTTTCCAGGCTGCTTTAACCAGCAGCCCTAGGAGAGGTTGCAGCGTAGGGAAGGGTGATGAAAAGCTAGAGAGAACCTTTTCACCCCAGAAATCCAAGTGTTTCCTTACAGAACAGTGTAGTTAGGCAACCCAAAGTAAAAGCAAAAGCAAAATAATTTATTTTTATACAAATTTCAAGAAAATAAGTTAAAATCCTAACTACATCGACTCCAGTCTTCAGGACAGTAGGAGGTTGCTTCCCAAGCTCTCAGAGCTGGCATACCTGCCTCCTTGTCAGCGGGTGAGCAGCAGCACCAGCTCACAATGAACAGTATGAGGAAACATGTCAAATGGTACAGCCAACATGGGGGCGAATGGATCTCCTGCGAGGTTCTTCCCTGGGTCGGGTGGGCAGCACAGCCTGTGGAAAGCAAAGAGAGCATCCTTTAAACCAGTAGCAGAAGCCTTCCCACCATTATTGGTAGAGCAGTAGCACAGAGGAGGTATTGAGTGTTTGGCTAACATCCCTCAGAGTCTGCAGCTGCCACTGCCTGAGGTCTGGAACCATCAATACTGAATCCCACAACCAACTCTGAAAACCTCATGGACAAGCTGAAGAGTTAGTGGCAAGGTTAAAGCTCCCTTTATCACAAGCCATGCCAGCTGAAAGACACTTAATAACTCTTAGGAAATAATCCTCAGATTTGCACTACCTTCATTGGTTACCTGTGGACAGATTTATCACCTGCAAAAGGCCTGCCCCAGATAAAGACTAGGCTATATGATTAACCCTAAGTAGGTGACTAATCCCCTTGGCTTCACTTCATTGTCTAGGGGCCAACCTTCCAGCAGTGAACCCAATGTACTCTCTATCCCACATCCAATGTGCTGTTTTGTTGAGGAAGGATTCACAATGCCATTATGGCATGTTCACATTATTTTCTATTCCTTGCTGACGCACTAAAGCATCCTGCTGAAAAATAAAACTCAAAGAATACCCACTGCCTTAAACCAGCAAGTGCAGGTAAACCCAAAGCAACACAGAAGCATAAACAACTTCTGACCATTCCCTAACTAGTCCTGGATCACACCTGCAGAACTCACCCAGTGAAATTCAGTCACAACAAAAACCTTCATAAGCCACGGTCAAATATTTATGTCCTTGTCTGGACTTAATAGGGTCTGTCACCAGGTCATTGGGAAGGAAGAGAGGAAGGTGCTCACTCAAGAAAGTTCCTCATGGCTTCACCCTCTGGCTTGCAGGAGATGTAGAGCAGCCTCCGGATGGACTTGCAGTTTCGGATGGCCCGCACAGCCCTGTAATCTGCAAAAACAGATACCGTGCTTCCCCAATGACCCACCACCACCATGAGCTCTCCAGAAGGAGCAACTGCACAGCAAACATCATAGAACTGCACTGAACCGTCAAAAATACAGAGAAAAAAAAAAATGCATTTTGCCATGTCCTATCTCAGATGCAGGCTCTTAAGAGGCCAAGGATGCAAACCACTCTGCTAAGAGCTCAGCTGATTTGGCAGGGTGGAGCAGTGGGATAAATCCCTCAGCTTCCCAGGGGGATGAAGGATGAGAGAAAAATTGTTACTTAATTAAGCAGAGCCATGCAAAACCTTCCATGCACACTTGTGAGACTGCATCTGGGCACCAGGACCAGTTTGGGACTTCCCGGTATACACTGGAGTCCAGCAGAGACCACTAAGACAGTTACAGGGCTGGGGCATAGCAAGCATGAGGAGAGTGTGAGGGCTGGGGCTATTCAGCCTGGGGAAGAGAAGGTGAGCAGGGATCCATTTTCTATCTTCAGGGGCCTCATGGGGGATTACAGAGAAGGTGGAGCCAGAATCTTCTCAGAGGTGCATGAGAAGAGGGTGGAAGGCAAGAGGTGCGCTGCAGCAAGGGGAAAATATGATTAAATATATTAGGGAAAACACTTTCAGGAGAGAATATCCACCCTTGGACACATTCAAGCCTCAACTGGGCTTTGTAGCCCTGTGCAACCTTAGGCAACTCTGAGGTTGGCCTTGCTTTAATAGCGAGACTGCACCACAGACCTCCAGAAACTCCTTCTCTCCTAAATAACTCTGTGAGCCTATGAAAGATGGAAAAAAGATTCAAGCTGTCTGCTTTAAAGAGAAAGTATGATAAAGGCACCGAAAACAGCAGACTCTATGGGATTGTTATGTTACTTGTCAGCAACAAGGTAAGAAACTAGAGACTAAGCAAGGAGAGGGTTTGGAGCCCGTATAACAGATCTCACAGAACTTGTTCAAAATGCTCTGTTTTCAAGATGAAAATAAATAGCATATTCTCTCACGGAGCCCAGCCCGCGATGGGTTCACCACAGCAACAAGGGGTCGGTCATCCTCCCACAATGACAGGAGCTGTGGTAACATAGTCTCTGCCTTTCCACTGTGAAACTCACAGTTTGAAATTCCTGTGAAGCAAAAATCAAACACATGAACTGAGCAGAGTCAGTCTCACCAGACATTAGGTATATCATGAAGTACCGCCCTTCGCTGCATGGAGGTAGCTTGTTAGGATCCCTCTGCTCACTTCTGCTTCTGATTTTTCAGCAGTTAGTTTGAAACTTTCTGCCACAGTGAGTTTGAACTCACCATTGAATGCTGCATTCCATCTGGCATCCTCTATTGCCTTCTCCACCACCTCAATACCAATAACCTTGGACACTTGGTGAGCCAGAGCAAGACCAATTGTGCCTGGAAACGAGGGAAACAAAAATACTCCATACATCCATGCTGAAGAAGCAAGCCTTTAGATAGTGGGGACCATTTTTGGTATGCAAAGCACCAGCCCTGGAAGCCAGGCTCACATGGCTACTGCTCACCCGTTCCACAGCAGATGTCAAGGAGGATGGTGTCCTCATCAGCCTGACTCAGCTCCCGGACTGCCTGGTACAGAACTTCTGCTCCACCTGTGTTTATTTGGAAAAAGGCATCTGGAGAGATGCGAAACTTCAGGCCGAGCACTTCTTCAAGGATGTGTGGTTCTCCATGAAGGAGCTGGAAGGGGGACTGCTCGTGGGTGCAGCGTGTCATAGTGCTAGCAGACCACACAAAAAAAACAGTTGTTAGATAGAAGGCAGCAGAGAGGCAGCTGATTATCATTTCCATTCCCATTCCCAGGGTGCTCATGTGCAGAGAAAGATGGTTCTTTCCCCACCAACTTTTATTTCATGTGAGACTTTCAACAGGATCCAAGAATTTTTATTTTGATTCCTAAGGTCTGTTCCCCAATTTTGCTGCTAATGTGATTTACTGTCTTGCAAAAGTCACTGTAGGTGTTATTCTTTAGTTTCCCATGCTCATAATTCCCATGAGGTAGAGCCACAGTGACTTGAAGTATTTCAGGTCTGGAAAAACAAAAGATGTGGCCATCTTAAAACCACATCTGCAAGAGGCATCCAATCATCTGTCATGCTCTTCAAGCACTTCCTGAACTGGTAGAATTTGAGTTTGATCAGAGAGGGGGGAGAAAAAGGAGGTAGATTTGTTTCCACTTTTTCCCTGTGTCGAGACATATACCTCTCTTGAAAATAGAGTGAAGTCAAGGCACAGACTGTTCCAGGTCCACACGTGAAGAACTCCTTAAGCAATGCTTTCTGAGTAGCCAGTGCCTCCTGTCAAGAGTGAGAAAGGAAAACCTGACTGTTTGGGTAATCTGATTAGACACCTCTCCCCAGCGATACACCCAGCAAGCTCAGGTCAGCCAGCTACCTGATATGCCTCTTGCCAGGGGCCCTGTCCTCCACATACTCACCTGGCCCAGGTCCTGGGGGTGGAAGGTGATGATAGCCATGGTGTGGCCACAGCTGGTGGTGCGTACAACGAGCTCCCGCCAGTGTCCGCCTTCGTGGAAGAGGATGCAAGGGTCCAGGGGGGAGCGACGGATGAACTCCTCATAGCACTGTGTGGAGGGGAAATGGCACTTGTAGTAGAGCAAAGACAACTGCCCTGGTCTTAGCATAACTCCGTGCACCCCAAATGGGTGGCCCTTCCATCAATATCACCTTGTTTTTCTGTTTGATTTCAGTACACTGAGTGAAAGCTCTTTCCAAGTTCTTGGAACAAAAGACACTTCAATAATTTCAATTTGTGATTCTTACATATTTTAATAGATTGTCAGGAATTCATTGTCACTTGATTAACTTCATTGTTTGGGACAGTTTAGAGACTGCAACATTAACATGCAAGTTTTAGAAAAATATTTATCCATCAGAGTCAGGCCTGAAACTTTCAGAACATGAAAAGGAACTTGAAAACACAGTGTAACTAAAATTACAATGTTCTCACAAATAAGAGTCATGGCAGTCCCTCTGTTCCAGTGTTTTGGGACAGACATGACTTATTTATTTACCTGGGCTACTTGTTTGTGTTTTGGGGGTATGTTCTCCATGTGGTTTGCTTTCACACAGACAATATTTCTTGCTGGAGAGAGACAGACAGGTATTTAATTGTTTTGTTTCAGGGCACATAAACCAATGTAGCAACTGACATGATAAACTGTGGAAAGGCCTTTCCCCTGAATTCTCCCACTGTACAAAAAAAAAAAAAAAAAAAAGGAAAAAACCCCAAACCCGGTATCTAAGTGGCTGACTAAATCTTGTGATGTTCTGGGTACCCACAGTCTGCAGGACCTACCAGAATTCCCTTTCCCAGCGATTACTCTCACTGACTTCCATTAATATGTTGAAGCTCCAGGAGCTTTTTAAATGTCCTCTATCAAATCCCAAACTGTGCTGTTTTTAAACTAAGAAAGCCAAAGCAGATCAAGCTGGTTTTCTAACTGTAGAATAATGGTGCGGGCTTACAGCAGCAAAACAGTTTAGGTTGCCTGGAAGACAGCATTCCCACTTCAACTTAAGTGCTAAACCTCTGCTATCAAAGGTAAAACACATCCATGGAATTATTTTTTCAAAGTGAAAAGTATGGATGTTGACAAACAAAACCTAGTATCAATGATGTGAATGAGTTCATCACTGAGCAGATTGCAAGGGGCACACAGCTCACCCCTTCACTGCAGAAAACCACACTGCCACACTGCATCCCAAAAGCTCCAATGCTGCTCTGCTGCCTGTGGATGTGCACACACCCCCACGCTCTCCCTGCTCAGCACAGCCTCCTGGAGCACGCTAAAACCATGGGAACAGCATAATTAAGACTAACAAAACTAAATCCTGGAGGGGCTGCCACCACAGCTGTCATCCTTACTGCTGTGTATTTAGAAAATTAGAAGCTGGTGTTTCTTAAGAAGCTAGTGAACTGAGGTTTTAAAGTTGCTACCCTGGACTTGGTGGTGTTTCTGTTGGTGTCCCCCAGGATTCAGGCTTCTAACTTAGGTGGAGGCTGTCACAGCAGAGCCTTGCCCCAGCCCAGCCCACACCAGCAGTTTTCTCCCGAACTCCTTGTCCTGCACTGACCTTTGCCAGTTCCCACATACATCCCCACAGTTTTGGGGTTACCATCCGGTCCTCGGTTCACAGAGAAAGTAGATTTGTTTCGGTAGCCATTAATGATGGGCTGAGGGAGAAAAGGAAAAGTAAAGCCTTGGATTAAAAGAAAAAGTAATGGAGGAAAGCCAAAACCCAGCTTGTTTTTTTCTGTTGGCAAGGAAGATACACATGAATGTGCAAAATGCAGAGACAGAGCTTGTGCGCGAGACCCCCAGTACTTCCCCTTGGGAATAAGAAATGGCTCTCTGTGTCAGGTTTATCAGGGCACAAAAAAAACTTCCTAATCACTGGGCTTGTTTCACTCTCTGGTAGTCACAGGCTGCAGAGTAGAAGCTGACAAGGACTACCACAGACACATTCTGTGCCACAAGTAATCCCCACCACGGGACTCTCTAGGAGTCGAGAGCCTGTTAGTGGCTCAGAGGGAGCAGTGTTCCCACGGATACTCACCGAAGGGACTACAGGCGGGAGAGGACAGCAGAGTCCACCAGGTTTCTTCACATCTATGCCCAGCTCCTCAAGACGAGATGCCAGTGTCTGCAAAATCTTCCTCTGGCTTTCATACTTCACCTGCAGAGAAGTCCTGAGCCAGAAACACTCTCACAAGAACATATGACCGTGGGCACCTCTTTATCACCCACCTCTGGGAAAGCCAACAGGAGGGAATACTGCAAGTGGGATATAGCCCCAGAGGAACTCTGCCTTTCTCATCACTGCAGCTGCTTGGAGCAACAGAGAGAGAGAAATCCTGTGACCATGGTCCCCAATCACTGGCCTGGAGCACTGGGTCCAACCTGAAGCCACAATGAACCAGTTGTCCTGCACTGAACGGGATCACTGTGTGAGTGTCCATCCTCTGTGCTGGTGGTGATCACACACAGCACCCACAGGGAACATTCCAGCTCTATCCTCCACAATAACTGAAGAATTAAAGCAGCAGAAAATGGGGTCTGAAGAGTTTACAGCATTAAGCGACTAATGCTAGGGGCTGTTGCTCAAGGGGGCTGGGGGGACAGTTGGGGCAACAGTACAGAGAAGTCCATGTAATCACATCTTACCTGCAGCTGCTTTTGGTAGGGAAGTCTCCACAGCGGAGTCACCACATTGGCTAACCTGGAAAGCACAACACTGCAGCAGTGCCCAGAGCTACTCACCTCCTGATACTTATGGTGTAACATTCCCAGCAGCTGCTTCATGGGCAGGACTGTTCTGGTACAGAGTCTGCACCAGGGCTGGCCGTAAACTTCCAAACTCCCTTTTCATGGCACCTTCCCGGTGCAGAATATTTGTGGCTGGAGGAGGGACCCAGGAACCACAATGACCAGCTCTCCAGGGACAGGCTGAGCCTTTGGCAGAAGATTGTCCAGCAGTGCCGGAGTGTCCTGGGTAACCCAGGTATCTTTCTAATCCCCCTTTAGAGGACAGGGCCAGGAACAGCATTTCCCCTGCACAGGGACCCAGAGAGGCCCTGCCAATCCCTGGGTGAGGTCTGACTCCAGGCTGGTAGAGCCAGGGGAATGAGTATTCAGATGTTACCGGGGGTCCGAGGGGAAAAAAACAAAACAAAACAAAACAAAACAAAACAAAACAAAACAAAACAAACAAAGGGGAAAAAAAGATCATGTTGTAACTTTGTAACTTCAGATGGACTCTGTTGCTTTCTCCCACTGAATTAGAGCCTTTGGCCCTCCCTTGCGGCTCCAAGGATAGCCTGAGTCCTGTCTCCCTGGAGCTTTTCCCTAAAAGAGCAAGATGCTTCTCTCATCACTCAGTGCATCCATCCTGCATCATCTACCTGCTCACACTTCCAGCCACTACTACATCTTTTTGCTAATGCTGTACTAGATTAAATCCGGCACAGTGAAATGCACAGTTTGTGTCTAGCAGGCAGGGAATTACAGGGTGCCCATGCTCACTGACCTGGGCACACATGCAGTGGCAGATTAGAGATAAACCTTGAAAATTGCCACTTCTTGTATCTGAGGCAGGGCAAGCAAGAACAAAACACATAAAAGCTGATTTTTTTTTTTTTTAAGACAGATTAATGGTTGAGGTGAATATGATCCAAACTATCATAACTATCCATCAACTACTGACTCAGTGAGCCCATGGAGAACCTCACCCTGCAGCTGGATAAGTTGCTGTTACTGCTTACTGGGATTTTTGGAGCTGCTGCCAAAGCACCCAGTGCCCACTACTTTCAGGCACAGAACTGCAAATCAAATGACTACTTTCTGCTTGCCAGTATGGCAACTACTGTGCTCCTGATCCTTTCCTCTTAGACCTTTTCATTTGTTTTTTCCATTATTCCTATCCCCAGGTGAAGCTCCAGGGAAGTCAGCTGAGCCCTGGCTCTTCTATTCCTACTGGGGAGAGCTGGGTGGAGGTGAAACTCACGACCCACTGCTGTAACCACTTCAAGTGCTTGGTGCTCTGGAACAGTGCTTGGTCATTTTGTAAGAGTCGTACCTCTCCTCCCAGGAAGAACCTGGCAGGCTGCAGCCCTCCCTGGCCTTTTTCTTCTCCTTCCACTTTGGTGCTGTCTGCTTCTCCGTCGGCAGGCTGCGGTCCCGACTGGTCAGGCTGCTCAGGGGAGCACTTGAAGGGCGAAGGTGCCAGCGCGGTAGCCTCAACATGCAGGACAGAGCCATGGTGGGAAGGAGAGGGGCTGCACCCCTGCAAGCAGCACAGCGAGCCCACTGTCAGCCTCCCAGAAAGCGGCACGTCAGCTACACGTCTGGAGGCGGGCTGAGGAAAACACCACGCTCGTGGCCAGCTCTGCTCCAGAAAGTAAACCCTTTAGTTTAAAAACACCCACGGCCCGCCTGACCCAGGGGGTGTGTTGTTATTTTGCTCAGGGCGGCTGGATGGTGCTCGCAGTTGACATGAGGGCCCGGGGCCTGGCCCAGGTGGGCAGCGCGGGGGGAACCGGAGGCGGAAAGCGGAGTTTCCTTCCTCGGCGGCGGGCGACCGGCAGCCGCCGAGCCCGGGCCGGGTTGGCAGCGCCCGCTTGGCTGGGGCTCTCACAGCCCAGCTCGTACCTCGCGTGGCGGAGAGCTCACTCCTTCCGCTCACGGCCGATCGCCTTCCCGGGGCGTTCGGCTCTCACGTGGCGGGATGCGACAAGCTGCGTTTCCGCTGCCCTGTGTAATTATGGCTGAGGATCCTCCCCGGGCCGGGGAGCTCCCCGCCGCGCTGTGAGGCGGCCGAGACCCCTGCCAGGGAGCCAGGGCCAGCTCCCCCCACCCCGCCGGTGCCTCTGCTCGGTGGCAAGTCCCCGAGCGCTCCCAGGGCTCATGCCTTCTACTTTACCTCCTGGCACCCTGTGCTTTCCGGGTCCGTCCGTGGCAATGGGGAGCCCCGGCGCACCCCAGAGCTCTCTGTGCGTGCAGAACTGCACGGTGTCCAGGCAGCTCCTCAGGGAACGCTGCAGGGGATGCCGGCAGCCACGCAGGGTGGGGGGGCACCCAAGGGAGGTGGCATCTGTCAGTGTCACCACAACTCACCCCAAACGGTCTCTGCCCATTTAGGCACCTGAAACGAAGAGAGCAGCAAGTGGGTGCAACCAGGCTCCGATCCGCTCTGTCCCAGGATTTAAGTGTCGTGGTGAATTCTGCCAAAGAGCGGCTTTGTAGCCCCTGGGACTGTGGGAGGAGGGGACTGCCCCAGGACACCCCACACACAGACCCCAGAGCCTCTCCCAGGGCCCTGCTGGTAGGCAAGGCTGTACAGCACAGCTTGTCTGCTTGGTTTTGCCGGCGCAAATGGCAATTGTAGTTATGTTCACTATCAGGCCTGGTGCCTCGAGGAAGGTTCTTGTCAGTGACCAAAAATTACTTGTATGTGTTTTTTAAATATTCAGATTTCAGATAGTCTAGGCATTTCAGAAACATCCCTTGTCTGGGAATTAAGTCTTCACAGCTGCCGCTCTAGCCTCTAAAAAGTTACAGTAGAAGAGTCACTTTTTTTTGATAACCATCACATAATATCCTAATAAGTTTCATCTATTTTAATTGAAAGGGAGAGGGTCAGAAGTACTTTTGATGCATGGATTTTTATTTTTGTTTCAGGGCATGGCACATCCGTAGCTAACAACTATAAAATGGCATCAAATTCTGAATTAAGCATTTATCAGCTCTAATTTTATCTAGACAAAAACCTCTTTGTGGTAATTAACTCTTCTTAAATATTGTAGGAATTAATGTTTGCATTTTAGCTGGGAAAACTGCAGGTTCCCAGGAACTTAAGTGTGGAACCTGAAAAACACTTGAAAAAACCTGCTGTCTCTAGACCCAAATATTAAAATCAGAAGTACACGTAATCCCACTGTTGTACCAGAATTGCCTCTTGCTCTGTCTTCTCTCCCAGGTGTGCAAATGGGATTGCTTTCTCTCCCAAAGCCTCAGCGTTCTGCAGGGTCTCTGGGGAGTGTTTGCTGCAAGCATTTGTTTCATTTACCATTAGCTGGGTGTACTAGAATTGCTCTTTATTTATGTGACACACAATTATTTGGGGAACGTCAGGGTGTCTCTGGCTTCCAGAATAAAGCATCCTCTTCTTGAGATTGCATCTTAACATTGCAGAAATTTGGCTAGGCCTGTAGGCAATAGCTGGGTACACCAAAGACAACAGGTTATTTTCTTTTCTGATCTAAAGACTAGCCTTCTTCACCTAAATACTGGAAGAGGTCCCAATAAGCAGAAAGCAAGAGGTAGAAATGGCCAATAGCAGGCAGGAACAGCAGCTGAAGAGAACTGAGCAAATAGTGCATTCCAATAACTCAGCCTTCTCCACCTCCACCATTAATTAAATTCCTAATTACCCTCAGCTGTAGTGGATTTGCCAACTTGCAGTCTCAGTTCTTTAGGTTACCAGCTGTTCTACAGAAAATATAGCCAGGCCACAGTTACGGATTTATGCACACTAGACACTGTAACAGGGTCCCACCCTAGGATGCCACTGAAAATGCAAAGTCTGAGTGAAGGTTTCTGATTCATCTCTTATTAGTTCTCAGGTTACAGTGGGAACTGCGTGCCTCTGGAGATCATGGCCCTCAATTACACCTGTACCACCCATCACCCAATTCCCAAGTCCAGTCACTTAATTCTGGTTGTTGGTCTCTTGATTTCTCACTGGTTTTCACTGTCACTAGGCTGGCTTTCTTCTGAAGCTACTTCATTCTTTTGGAATTGTGTCCTTGGTCCTTAACTTCTTCATTCTGCTCGTATCTGCCGGATTCAGCTAATTCAGCAGTGTTAGTTTTATTGAAAATTTACTCTGAGTCAGCTCTTGTGGCCTGAGGCTTCAACTACTTCAGCTACTAGTGCTGAGCTACTAATGCTAAATGAAACTATTCAGAGAGAATACACTTCATCACATTTCTTCCATAACAGTCCTCCCTCTGGGTTATTTTTGGGCATCCCTGCCCATCTTTAGTTGGCCTTCCATGAGGGCTCTTTGAGAATTTGTAGAGGTTTCATAAGCACATTCTGTCAGCAATTCTGAACACAAGTGAAAGCGCAGCAGGCTACCAGAAGCATGACCACAAGGTAGAAGACTTTTTATCCATGAACTAAATAAACCACTAGACCATGAGGATAATCCCCATCCCGAGAACAAGTTCAGTAACCAGGGCTTCAGGAGCTGTTCCTAAATCACGTGACAGAGCCTTGAAGTTCTAAAGCAACCGTTTATAACGCCACGTGTGGTCTGATGGTGTATCGGCCTACACAGGTGACAGCAGGGCCGGTGACTGATGGAATCGTTCTTGAAATGGAACATACGATCAGTTTTCCACGCGCGCTCTTGCACCTCCGCGTTCCGCGGAGGGGGGCGTGGCTATTGCCGCCAAACGCCGGAGCTCGCCAGCGCCCCGCCCGCCAGGGGGGCGTGGCTATATCCGGGCAGGGGGCGGGGTTCGGGCAGGGTTGCACCTCCCGCGCTCGCCGGCACCGCCCCGCCGCGGCCACGCCCACACTACCGCTCCGCTGCTTCACCGCCCGCGTGACCCCGGCGCGGGCGCCGATTGGCCGGCGGCACGCCGAGGCGGCGCGGTGCGGAGCGCCAGTTCCGTGCGGCGCGCCATGCTGTCGGCGGCGGGCGGCTCCGGCTCCGGGCCCGGCGGGGCTGGCGGCTCCGGGCCGGGGCTCGGCGGGGACGGCGACTTCCTGTCGCGGTACCGGCTGGTGTCGGCCAAGCTGCGGCGGCGGTTCCTGCGCAAGCCGAACGTGGCGGAGGCGGCGGAGCAGTTCGCGGCGCTGGCGCGGGAGCTGCGCGCCCAGGAGAGCCTCCCCTACGCGGCCTGGTGCCAGCTGGCTGTGGCGCGCTGCGCCCAGAGCCTCTTCCACGGCCCCGCCGAGGCGGCCGCGCTGGCCGAGGCGGCGCGGCTCTTCCTGCGCCAGGAGCGGGACCTGCGGCAGCGCCTGGGGCTGCGCGGCGGCTTCGGCGAACACGCGGCGGCGGCGCAGAGCTGCGGCGCCTTCGCCGCCCGCCTGCACCTGGAGCGGGGGCAGCCGGCGCTGGCGGCCGGGCTGTGCCTGGAGCTGGCGGCAGCCCTGCGCGACCTGGGCCGGCCCGCCCGCGCCGCCGCGCCCCTGCAGCGGGCGGCCGAGCTGCTGGCGGCGGCGCGGCTGCCCCTGGAGGCGCTGCGCTGCCTGGCCGAGCGCGCCTCCTGCCTGCTGCTGGGCCGCGACTACGCCGGCGCCTTGGCGGCGCTGACGCGGGCGCAGGCGCTGGCCGGGGCCGGGGCCGGCGGGGCCGCGCCCGGCGGCGCTTTCCTGGACTTGCTGGCGCGCTGCGAGGTGTCGCGGGTGCTGCTGCTGCTGCTGCTGCAGCCGCCGCCCGCCAAGCTGCTGCCCGAGCACGCCCGGACGCTGGAGCAGTACTGCTGGGAGGCGCCGGAGGGCGGCGCGGCGCCGGGGCCCGGCGGCGGCCCCGGGGCGGGCGGCGGGCTGCCGCCGGCGGCGAGCTACCTGCCGGCCGAGCTCTTCCTGCTGCTGCAGTCGGCCGTGCTGGCGTGCCAGGAGAAGGACGCGGAGGCGCTGAAGGCGCTGCAGGCCGAGCTCTGGCCGCTGCTGAGCGCCGAGCAGAACCACCTGCTGCACCTGGTGCTGCAGGAGATGCTCAGTCCCGCCGGGCAGGGCCTCTGAGCACTGCTGCTGCCGGCACGGACGGGCCACGCCGCGCTCCCGCGGGACCGGTCTGGGACTCGTTGCTCGAGCCACGGTCTGTGTCAGCGCCTCCTTGGCACCACTATTTATTTTTCACGCGAGTTCTGTAACAGAAGCGAGTAACAATTGAGCAGCAAAAGCGATCTACTCCTTTCTTGTGTGTCGTAGTGAACTACTTGCTGTGTGGGTGTGCTTGAGGAGGTGTAGTCCCGAAGCAGAGAGGGCAGTTCAAGGCAGTGCCCACCTGGTCCTTAATAAGCCGGCTGCGGTCTGGTTTCTGATGTGATCCCTAATCTTGCCCTGCAGCTGGGGTGGGGGTGTGTCTCTGAAATGTTCTTCCTGCTCCTGCAGTCTTAGGTGTTGCACCCATCACCCTGGGAGCCCAGGGGATATGGTTGAGCTTTCTCTGATGTGAGTCCTTCCCATGGACTGCAGCCTCTTCCCAAACTGCTCCGGCATGGCTCCCTGCCACGTGTTGCCATCCTCTCAGTGCCAGACTCTTCCCAGGGAGTCCCAGCCTCTTCCAGGTGCAGCCGCCTGCTCTGGCGTGGGATACTCCATGGGCTGCAGGTGGGCTTCTGCCTCGTGGGTGGGAGTGGGACAGCCTGCCCTCTCACCAGGGGCTGTAGGGGAGTCTCGGCTCCAATTAACTTCGCCCCCTTTCTTCCAGTGACCTCGCTGCATAGGTGTCTCCTTCAGAGCTCCTTTCCAGGTTCCCCTTAAATATGTTATTGCTGAGGCGTGGCCACTGCCACTAATTGATTCGGCCCTGGCCAGAGGAGGGTACTGCTTGGAGAAGCTTCTGCCAGGGGCCACCACTGTAGCCCCTTCCACATTACCAAAAACCCACCACCAGCAGACCCAACGCAGACAGGCAGTTGTCACGTAGCCCGCGCGGTGCCATGTTTACACATTACTTCTAATTTACCTCGGGGAACAATTAGAGAAGTCAGAGAAACTGGCGATGCGAGCGAGCTCTTCACCACGCGAGGTACGAGCTGGGCTGTGAGAGCCCCGACAGGGCCCGGGCCCGGCGGCTGCCGGTCACCCGCCGCCGAGGAAGGAAACTCCGCTTTGCGTCGTCGGTTTGCCCGGCCGCCCTGAGCGAAGTAACGGCGTGCCCGCCGGTGCCGCGCCGCGGAGGGTGGTGAACCGGGAGGGGGCGGGGCCTGGCGGGCGGTTCCCGCGGGTGCGGGCAGGGGGCGGCCCCGGCCCGCGCGAGGCTGGGCGGGAAGCGGTCACGCGGGGGGGCTGGGCGGGAAGGGGCGGCCCTTCCGGTCCCTGCGCGGCGGCGGCGGCACGCGGAGCGGCCATGGCGGACGGGGACGGTGCGCAGCGGCGGGAACCGCCGGGGTGGCTCATTGCCCCGGTGTGCGCGGGCGGGTGGCGTGGGTGGCGGAGCCCCGGTGGGTCGGGCCCCGCTTGGGGCTCGGGGCCGCCGCGGCGCCACGTGGGGGAGGGTCGGCGGCGGGCCCGGGGCTGCGGGTTCCCTCCCGGGCCGGGGCCGCTCAGCGTGTCGCTCCCGCAGGTTCCAGCGTGAAGAAGCGGCGGAAGAAGGAGAAGCGGCCGCTCCCCGATGAGGATGTAGCGGTGAGCGCGGGGCCGCGCCCGGGGGGGCGGGGGAGGGGGGGTTCCCCCGCCCGGTGCGCGGCGGCGGCGGCGTGGGACGGCCCGTGGGTAGCGCTGGGAGCAGCCGCGTCTCGCAGCGTGGCCGAAAGGGCTTCCTCCCCGCCGTCACCGGCGGCAGCGTGGCCGCCACGCGTGGCGGGAGCGCTCCGCCGCCCACGTGGGCGCGCGGGCCGCCCGGTTTCCTTTCTCTGACCTCCGGCCGCTCCACCCGCCCGCAGGACATCCAGCACACGGAGGAGTTCCTCATCAAGCCCGAGTCCCGGGTGGCCCAGCTGGACACGTCGCAGTGGCCCTTGCTGCTGAAGGTACCGCGGGCTGCAGCCACCCTCGCGGCCCATCCCCGCTCCCGCCCCGTTCTCCTCTCTCGGTGCAGGCCCGTGCAGATGCACAGCTCCTCCTCTGTGTAACCTTCCCGCTAAGAAACAGCATGCGGGACACTCAAACGCACCCTCTGCGTGCAAAAATCCTGTTAGAAAGTTTGCCCAGCACTATCGCTTGCATGCCCGCTTTCTAAGCTTACCGTCTCCTGTAAAGACCCCACCAGAGTTCTTCAGCTATTTATTTCGGTCTGACAGTGGCCTGTGGTCTGTGTAGACTTCTGAGTTGCTTGTGCTGAGTTTCTGGGGCACACTGGATTTATCCTGCATTGTAAAGGTTGGTATTCTGCTGCTTTCCCATCTATGTCAGTGCAGGACTTCTGTTTCCTTCTCTTTCTGTAAAACACTGTTGTGGTTTCATTGTTGGATCAGTTTCATTTTGGAAGGGGCTCTTTCTCTTAAACATACAAATCAGGCATTATGTAACTGGGGAGGTGTATTGGGGCAAAGCAATGCTGAAACCAGGGTGAGCTCAAGAACACTTGTAACTTTTGCTTGGATTTTGTAGAACTTTGACAAGTTAAATGTGATGACAGCACACTACACACCTCTTTCTTCCGGTGCTAATCCCCTGAAGAGAGAGATTTCTGACTATGTTAGGTGAGTGCAATAAGGGCCAGAGTGGTTTATTTTTCTTTCACAATTAAGAGCTACAAAACGTTTTCTGTTCTGGATTCCCCTTGTACCCTTCTGCTTGACTTGGTGCCTTGCTACTAACCAGAAAATTTCTAAATAGGACCCACTGGTTACTTCCTGTAACGTTTGCCTTGTTCTGGGGTTGTGGCTGGTCTGTGGACAGACATACACAAACACTTGAGAGATTCTCCAGGATCTTATGGAAAGTCCTTTGGTCTGCTAGGCATTGAGACTGCTTGGTGTTTGCTTGTAGCGTTTGGTTTAAGTGCAGAGTAGTGATGAGCGGTCTGAGCAGGTCAGAGTTCTTTGACTGTGGAATATATCACCTGCTGCGTGCTCAGCAGCTCAGCGTGTGCTCACTGAGAGCTTATCACTAATTTGGCTGTATAGAAATACATTTTCTTTGCGACCATGACAAATACTGTCAAAAGTTTTTGCGCCCTTGTCTTTGCCCTGATGCTTAGTTCCTACTCTCATCTTGCACTATAGATCTGGTTTTATTAACCTCGACAAACCTTCCAACCCATCTTCCCATGAGGTGGTTGCATGGATCCGACGCATCCTTCGAGTAGAGAAGACTGGACACAGTGGCACTCTGGATCCTAAGGTGACTGGGTGCCTCATTGTGTGTATTGAGAGGGCAACACGACTGGTCAAATCTCAGCAGAGCGCAGGTATGTTTATTGCCCAGGACCATTGATGGTCTAAGTGACTGGGGAGGTGTGGAGTTCTCTTGGAGACAAAATGGAGATTTCCAGTCTTTCAAAGGGCTACCCTTGGTCTTCAGTGCCTTCACCTTAGGGGTGGCTTATCCTTCTCACTCCAAGCCAGTGAGGGTACATCCATGCTGTCACAAGTTTTGTTTTGGTTTGGTTTGGTTTTTTTTTATTGCTTCTCTATGGCTTTGTGCTTGTTTAAGTCAGTGAAAACACTTCTGACAGGCTGGTTTCATGTACTAACTGAACTTACGGCCTCAGCTTCTATCAATCCAGTGAAGTAAAACTTGGTGAAGAAATAAACGTAGCTTAGATGTGTTTTGTTGGAAGAATAATCCACTCCATAATAAACTGTCTGCGCTTCCTAGGAGAGGTGGTTGTGAAAATTTCAGGGTTCTGTGGATGTGTGGCTCTGAAGCAGTGTGGACCTTTAGGTCAACATAAAATGCAAGTGGCCACTCCTGACTGCTCTTGTCGTTCTTTCAGGCAAAGAGTATGTGGGAATTGTTCGGCTGCACAATGCAATTGAAAGTGAGGCTCAGCTTGCCAGGGTAAGTCTCTGCATGCTCTTAGCCATGCTGGTACTTCACATCCAAAGTGTTCAGCACCAGTGGGAGATGAGAGGGTAGGAGTGGAGCTCAGGTGTGCTCTGTGTGTGAGGTGATGACACAGTTTATCCATTCTCTGAGTGCAGTGGTGCTGCCCTCCCGCAGCGCCCAGATTCCTGTTCTAGGGTCTGGGTGCGGTGCAGCCTCCAGAGACTCTCCAGTCTCCCGGTGTCCTACTGGGGGCTGCTGTGGTGTGTGGCTGGCTGCCTGCAGGAGTGTAGTGGTGCTGGCAGGGTTGGAGCCCCTCTTCAAGGGGAGCTCCGTCCTCACCGAGATGCGGGATGATGTCTGATCACATACTGCCACCTGATGAAAAAGCCCAGCTGTGCTTGGTGGCAGCTGGAGTGGCATTTTGACCACATCGTCAACTATTAAACATGACATCACCAAATTATGATGAACCGTGTGGTTTCTTACTCATGGAAGTGGTTGTAGTTGCTGGAGACCTCAAGGTGCTCCTACATTAGGACACAGGTGTGAGCTGTTACTTATTCTGCTTCTGCCCTCAGGCAATAGAGACTCTGACAGGCGCGCTGTTTCAGCGACCACCGCTCATTGCTGCTGTCAAACGACAACTGAGAGTCAGAACCATCTATGAGAGCAAGCTGGTGGAGTATGATCCTGAGAGAAGATTAGGTAAAACAAGGCTTTCCTGCCTTATTGCTATTAAGCTAACAGCTAATAAAATTTCCTGTGAAATGGACTGCTTCCTATTCTTGGCAGATGTCTTAAGACCTGAATTCTCATCACCATCAAGCAGTAACGGCCTCATACTTTATTTTGGTGTGCTGAGAAGCAAATTCCATCTATTTTTTGTACTGCTGCATCCTTCATTGAAGAGCCAAATGATGTTCGTTAGATTGCATTAGCACTCAGTGCAAAGATGACCTTCATCTATCACCCCAGGCTGATGGCTCTGTGAAGGGTTGGACATACAGCTTCTCTCGGGGAGCGTATAGATGTGGTTTGTTCCTAGATACGTATTTGAATACTTTTCTGTCCTGTCTTGCATTTCAGGTATCTTCTGGGTGAGCTGCGAAGCAGGCACATATATCCGAACACTCTGTGTTCACCTTGGTTTGCTGCTTGGTGTGGGCGGCCAGATGCAAGAGCTCCGCAGAGTGCGCTCGGGCATCCTGGGGGAGAAGGTAGAGTGGTAGCTCTAACTAACGAGCAAATTT